AAAGGCCACATTTTTTAAATTGTTGGGCAGAGAGCCTTTTACCATGAAGAAGTAATAACCACAAAACAGCATTGCCAGAACAGAGACAGGAGGGCCGAAGAGAGAGTGCTGCGGTTTTGGAAGCCATGTCTGTTTTCAGCAGTCCGGGAACTGCTGCCAGGGTTTTGTAGTGACAACTTCATAATGTGAGAGAGGACCAGGGACCCAAGCAAAAGGCAGGAAAACAGGACAGCGTGAGGGAAGGAAGAAATGAAGGAAAGAAAGGAGGAAGGAAGGAAGGAAAGGAGGGAGGGAAGGGACTGAACCCCTGAACAAGGGCCTGTGGATGTGCCTGCCTTTGGGCCACGGAGACAGCGAATCATTCCACCTACGTAGCTTTATCTCCCTGGTTTAGGCCAAATGTCAGGTGGGTGAGGTGGGGTAAAGGAGGGTGGAGGAAGTGGAAAAGAAAATATTCAGAGTTGGTAGCTTTTGGACCAGAGAATAACAACCATATTGTCCAGCCAGGCAGAGTCAAAGTGAAGTCTGAGCTCAAAGGAAAGGCTAGGAATCTGCCCTGGGTGAAATATTTGTTCTGCTGCGTTCCAGCCGTGGCTTACCACTGGTTGTATTCTCTTCCATTGCTAGGCACAGAGGTCAATGCTTCCCCACTTTGGAATCTGGCCCATGTGAAAATGGAGCCTCAAGAGAGCGAAGAAGGCAATGTCTCTGGGCATGGTGTGCTAGGTAGCGATGTCTTTGAGGAGCCCATGTCCGGGATGAGTGAAGCTGGGATCCCCCAGAGCCCTGATGACTCAGACAGCAGCTACGGTTCCCATTCCACGGATAGCCTCATGGGGTCCTCCCCTGTGTTCAACCAGCGCTGCAAGAAGAGGATGAGGAAAATATAAAAGGAAAAGAGAAGACTTTGTCTCCAGACCTACAAGACCAAACAGAAAACCTCAATGCATTCAAATTTGTTTCCATACAGGGTGATTTGACTTTAAGTCTTAAATACAGTGGATCTTCCTGATTTCATTGGAGGTGGATTTAACCAAACACGTTTGCATTTTACTTATACAGCCAGTTTTTGTACTTTTCCACAACCAGGCCACCTTTCACAGACAGTTCATGGTACTGGGATGGTAATCGGGAGACCAGAGTACTGTCCCTGACTGGTGTCTTTGCCTTCGCACAACTGAGAAGAATCACACTGCTCGGCTCCGTATTGCAGGGATGTTGTACAGATTGAGATTCTCATCAGACTTCAAAGCTGTGCTTGAAAAGACTCACAAGTAAATACATACTGATATCAGAAGCCAGTTTTTTCATTGAATTTCCTTCACTTTGGGGTCAGATCATTGGGAACCCAGTACTAAAACCTAACAGGAAATAGCTAATCCCCTTATCCATCAGTAGTCTTTTTTAAGCAGTTTTTGCTGCTCATGTCTTAGGAAACCAAGGGTCTGTGGTGCTCCTTTAGACGGCCCTCCTGATCTTGTGCACATTGTTTCTTCTTTTTTTTTTTTTTTTTAAGATTTTATTTATTTATTTGACAGACAGAGATCCCAAGTAGGCAGAGAGGCAAGGCAGAGAGAGAGGAGGAAGTAGGTTCCCCGCGGAGCAGAGAGCCCGATGTGGGGCTCGATCCCAGAACCCTGGGATCATGACCTGAGCCGAAGGCAGAGGCTTTAACCCACTGAGCCACCCAGGCGCCCCTTCTTCCTTCTTTTTTGTTAAGTAAACTCTGCCCCTCAAACTCATGACCCCAAGAGAGTCACGTACTCTTCCGACAGAGCAGCTATGCCTGCCCCTCGTCTTCCCTTGTTGCACTTAACTCCATCTACTTTCATCCTTTCTGTCATTTTATTTCCATTCAGATTTTTTTTTAAGATTTTATTTATTTATTTGACAGAGAAATCACAAGTAGGCAGAGCAGTAGGCAGTGAGAGAGGGGGAAGCAGGCTTCCCGCTGAGCAGAGAGCCTGATGCAGGGCTCGATCCCAGGATCCTGAGATCATGACCTGAGCGGAAGGCAGAGGCTTAACCCACTGAGCCACCCAGGTGCCCCCCATTCAGATTTTTTTTAAAGACTTTATCAGAAAAAGAGCAGCAGGCAGAGGGAGAAGCAGACTCCCCCCGAGCAAGGAGCCCAGTATGGGGTTCCATCCCAGGACCCCGGGATCATGACCGGAGCAGAAGGCAGATGCCCAACTGAGCCACCCAGGCGCCCCTCTGTTCAGATTTGTGAAAACGTTTCACAAATGTACCTTTTTTCAGTTGTTTCCTTCATCTCCTCCCTTGGAAATGAGCAACCAGGACCTGTCCAAGGACAGACCAGAGCTGACTGCATTTGCTGCATCTATCTACTCTGCCATCGGAGGGCAGCAGGCCGCTCCTGTGCCAGAATGCAGCAGCTGCGCTGTGCTCCTGTGGGCTGGGCAGCCTCTCAAAGGCGAACAGTACACATCTCTCTCCTTCATATCCTGTCCTCAGCTTTACATTGTTACCCATCACAGAATCTGCCCCGCTTGGCATCGGATAGTCGCAGTCAGTGTTTACGAAGTGAATGATTCGCACTGGAATTACTAGGAGTAATGAGCAAATGTGTGCCTTGGTAGTGGGTGCCAGCATGTTAAACACTGCTGAAATTTGGTCTTGGGAGGCAGAATACAGTCTTTTGAAATTTACAGCATTCTTTCAGGAGACCAAAATCAAGGCACAACTTGAATTAATACATTATCGAAAGCCTTCCATGTCCCAGGCACTGAGCATAAAGGTGAAAGCAGGGGCACCTGGGTGGCTCAGGCAGTTAAGCGTCTCACTTCAGCTCAGGTCATTGTCTTGGGGTCCTCAGATGAAGCCCTGTGTCTGTTTCTCCTCCTGCCCCTACCCCCTCTCATGCGCTAATACTTAGGGAAAAAAATGAGCCCAATAGCCATGAGATTACAATGTAAACTCTCAATTTGTAAATTGGCTAATTGCACAATCCCTAACATACTTCTCTAAACTCCCATTCCATGCTTAGCTTCATTTCCCCCTATTTATGAAAGTAAACATCAGGCAGTTTCCATAAAGTAATCATCTAGCATTTAATTCGTTCTTTAGCAAACATTTATTGAGTACCCATCATATACTGGTTCTTGTGCAAGGGATACAAAGATGAAGACGACTTCGTCCCTGTCCTACAGAGTGGAGCTTAAGGCACAGGCCAGATAAGTTGCTGTTTTGTTTTGTTTTGTTTTGTTTTGTTGTTAAATAGTAGTTCTATGCCTGGCATGGAGCCCAATGTGGGGCTTGAACTCATGACCTTGAGACCAAGGCCTGAGGTGAAGAGTTGGACGCTTAATCGACTGAGTCACCCAGGCGACCCCAGACAAGTTTTATTTTTAAAAGAAGTATTCAAAGGCACTAAGGGGAAAAACCAAGTATGTTCTGAATCTTGCTCTGCAAATTGTTTCCTCTTGTAGAGGTTCAAATTTTTAAGACTAGTGGTTTCTAGGTATAGAATATTGAAATTAGGGGCGCCTGGGTGGCTCAGTTGGTTAAGCAGCTGCCTTCAGCTCAGGTCATGATCCCAGGGTCCTAGGGTCAAGCCCCACATCAGGCTCCCTGCTCAGCCGAGAGCCTGCTTCTCCCTCTCGTGTGCCTGCCACTCTGCCTACTTGTGCTTTCTATCAAATAAATAAATAAAATCTTTAAAAAAATATTGAAATTAGTATCTATAGGTATAGTATCTATAGGTATATATTCTATAGGTACAGAACACTGAAATTAATACTTAATGGCAAAATTAAATACTTTTTAGACTATTTACATTGGGGTATAGGTACCAGATGGTCAAGGTTAGGTACTCTGATAAAGCAGGTCATTTTAAGATACCTGAGATTCTCCTGGCCCAGAACTGTCACAGGCTATTTTAGCTAGAGCAGTTCTCAAACTTAATGTACATGGGAATTCCCTGTAGGGTTTTTTGTTTTTTTTTTTAAAGATTTTATTTGACAGAGATCACAAGAAGGCAGAGAGGCAGGCAGAGAGAGAGGAGGAAGCAGGCTCCCTGCGGAGCAGAGAGCCCGACGCAGGGCTCGGATCCCAGCACCCTGGGATCATGACCTGAGCCGAAGGCAGAGGCTTTAACCCACTGAGCCACCCAGCACCCCCCCACAAAGGATTTATTAAAAGAGATGTCTAGGTACCACCCCCAGTTTCTGATTCAGGTCTAATTAATTCAATGACAAAACTAATTCAAACAATAAGAAAATTCAGGGGCACCTAGGTGGCTCGGTTGAGGAACTAATTCTTGGTTTTGGCTCAGGTCATGATCTCATGGGTCATGGGATCGAGCCCCATACTGGGCTCCTCGCTCAGCAGAATCTGCTTCTACTTCTAATTTTTTTTTTTTTAATTTATTTATTTGAGAGAGAATGAGTGAGAGAGAGCATGAGAGAGGAGAAGATCAGAGGGAGAAGCAGATTCCCCAAAGGGCTGGGAGCCCGATGCGGGACTCGATCCTGGAAGTCCAGGATCATGGCCTGAGCCGAAGGCAGTCACTCAACCAACTGAGCCACCCAGGCGCCCATTTCTTTCTAATTTCTAACAATTCTCCAGGTCATGCTGATGCTTCTCGTCCAGTGACCACACTTGAGAACCATTGAATTGGGGTACAGATTAGGCAGGGATAAAATTCCTTAAGAGAAATGCACTATGTTCTAAGATACTATGAAGAATGTGGAGGCAGGGCAAACCTTACTAAGGCTATTATATATGGAATGTGCACCTGACCCAAATCCATGGTCTTTGAGTAAATCACAAAGGATACTTTGCCTTAAAGTATAACACAAACAATGCCTAGCTCTGTACCTGGTTACTTGGTAAGTGTACATGGAGACTTTAGTAAACATCCCCTCTTTACTGAGACAGGTTTGGACATGTGGCTTTAAACCTCTATGTTGAATAGAAGTGAACCTATTTGCAGTTACATAATTTTCTTACTTGAAATTATGACAGGCAGGCTTACAACAAAGTTAAAATTAAAAACACTTTATCCAAGTTATCATCCAAAACAGGATCTTATTCATTAATCATGTTTTGCTCACTTTTATCAATGAACCTGTTGTCCTACAATGAGCTACCCCATCTGAGGCATGTTTCATACCCAACATTGATTGGTTGCCAAGGAGACTCCACTGCCACCCTGGGTAAGCTCATGTTTCCTTTCCCTTTCTACTAAAAGGAAGGAAACTCATGGTATAATCAAGGGCAAGATGCTGGGAAAGTAGAGTACAGATCCAGCCTGATAGAAGTTTGAAGTGAATCGTGATTTTTCGCTGTTCCACCTACCAGCAGCAAAAGTACTTGAATTCAAATGATAAAATTTGAAGCTTTAGGCTTGAAGGGCTATCAGCATCCAAGAATAGTGAGAATATCCTTCCTTGCATAAATCCAAGGGAAAGGCCAAGGGAATTGGCATCTACCTGCCAGGTCCAATGGTTTTCTATCCCTGGCTGCATCTGAGTCAAATTTCCCTATAAGAGAAACTCTGCTACTCTGAACAAAATTGTCCTTTATAAGTAGTCCCCATCAGAGGTTAGGATAATTCCTTCACAGAGTTCCAAAATTCTGGACTTCTAGAAACTACTTGTTGTTTCTCTTCCAATACTGTGCCATTGATTCTTGCATAAAATTCTGGAATGCTGGTTCTTCACGGCTTTCCTCCGTAACTACAAGGAAAAAAGGTCAATTCTTTTAATTTTCCCATTAGACAGGTAGAAAAGAGTTCTGTCGCCAATCCATCACAAACAGTACTCAGCTTCTAATAAACTAAGTGTTCATTTCTCCCAGAAGCATGCTCTATCATGGTGCCCAAAATGTTGAATTTCTTTCATCTCTAAGTGGGGAGAAAACTGCCCCCTCATAAAGTAACTAAAACGAGGTCCCACTCCTACGTATTTTTAAGCAAGAGAAATATATCCAGCAACTTTATTCATAATAGCTAAAATCTGGAAACAACCCTAATGGCAATCAGCTGATGAATGAATAAACAACTTGTGGTAAAAGCCATACCTTGGAATATTATTAATCAATAAAAAGAGCGCACTTCGGATACATGGATGGATTGCAAAAGCATTACACTGACTGAAAAAAGTCAAATCCAAAAAGCTAAATACTGTGATTCCAATTAGACAACATTCCAGAAAAGGCAAAATTAAGGAAAAGAATTCAGATTAGTGATTGCCAAAAACTAAGTGTGAGAGAACGGGACTGAATGAAAACAAGCATGAGGAACTTCTGGCGGTGGTGGAAGTATTCTGTATCTTGACTATGATAGCTGTTTCCAGTGCCCATATATTAGTTAAATCTCATCAAACTATACACTTAAAAAGGGTGGGATTTATTGCTAGTAAATTAGATCTCAATACATCTGAGTTAATGAGGTAATTTAGATGTTAGCATCCAGCACACTGGACGGTAAAGAGAGGTTTGCTCTTGGCCGTAGCTAGAACCATAAAGGTTGTTTCAAGAAACAGATTCTGTTCACAGCCCATAAAACTATGCCAGGTGGAACCCTTTTGGGTTTCCAGAGCCATTCTATCCTCAGTGGTACAGTCCTTTTTAACTGGCTTCGGTCTGCCGAGGCCTCCTTATGCATTCTTTTTCCCTACCTCATGTATTCTTAAAACCGTTATTAAACCAAACAAACATCCTGGATTTCTCAAACTGAGTTAGGCCCTAATGATGAGAAGACAAGAGACTAATTAAAAGCCTGTGATGCGCTCAGTATTAGCCATTCAGTAGACGGGCCAGGAACTCAATACGTGGAACTCTTTCCCTCGGCTGATTCCGGGGCCACGTCTTCTCTCCCGATCACTGGCTGCATGGGTAAGGCTTCTCTCAGCAAGAAGCTCCTGAGCAAACAATGTGGGAGGAAGCAGCTACTCTCTTTTCACGAGCACCTCAGCCACCTCTCACCTCTGTGGTCAATGTCATCAGTATCGCTGTCGGCTTCCTCATCCTCTTCATCCAGTGTTCCCCGAGTCAGGATCAGGTCAGAAGCGTCCAGCGCAGGAGACAAGCTGTCTACAGAGAAAACCCCTGTCAGGAGCACATCATGAACCTCAGCCTCCTCAAACAGGTGTTCTGATTCAGTAACTATGATTATAAATTGGCAGGATGAAGGTGGTCATAAACATAAATGCACAATCTCACCTGTTCTAAATGTACTATTGTTAATACCACTTAATGTTTTTAGAGTAGTGTAGTCTATAAAATGCTCTCGGGATCCCCGTAACCCAAGAGGTGCTATTTTTAAATTGAGGAAAATAATTCTCAAGTAGCTTGTCCTGGTAGTAACATCGTTCGTTCTTACTGGCTCACAGCTTAGAAGAGGCTGTAGTTTTTCCTCTGAAGACTAAAGGCATCGGAGTAGATGCAGCGGGCTGGGGAGTCCGCGCGAAAGTACAGAGCACTAAGGAAGATTCCTGGGGGAAATGTGTTCTGAGGGTCTGAAGAAAATAGGGGGTGGAATGACAGTAAAGGAGTGAGGATATTATTCAAAAGAGGGAGGGAGGAAATGGGAAATTGAATATACTAATAGAGGCAAATTCCCTACTCCGGGCAACTGAACAAGGGCCGAGTGCCAATCAAAGTCAAATCACTTCATTCCTATGCAGGGGATTCGGCCTGCAAGGGTTGGGCTCTGAGAACCTAAAATGATGCCCAGTATCCTAGAGCTACCGGAGCACACAACCACTCTCCTCAGGAGCCTAGCTGGAGAGGTCAGCAGGGGATGAAGGAGGCCAACAGCAGCAACATCAAGGGGCACAAATCTCAAGGGGCCCATGGCCCTGAAGAGGGATGGTGACATGGCGTGCTAACAATCAGTGCTTCAGTCTGGGCCCCCTATACCTGTGACTGCCCCCAAATTATTTACTGCAAGCTCTCAACCTTCAACAGGTTGTCTGAGTATGGAAGACCTTTTGCAGCAGATTTAACATTTGCTGCTTCACATATTCCTGAATGATGCACACAGAAATTTATGTCACCGAGGTGCACAAGGATGGCCAGGCAAGTTCACGTAACCAGTGAATCCAGCCAGTTTCTAGCATCTCCCCCTCCAAGCGGCTTTGCTGTTGTTGTCTAGTGAAGATACAGCAATAGCTTTCATGAACAGAACTTCATTCCTTCAAAAGACCAGTCCATCCATAAGTGTGGGCAGGAGGGGGTGTACCCATACTAAACATGAACGCCGACCTAGAACCCCTAAGAATCAATGACAAAACTAATCCAAACAATAAGAAAATTCAGGGGCACCTAGGTGGCTCAGTTGGTTGAGGGACGAATTCTTGGTTTCGGCTCAGGTCATGATCTCATGGGTCATGGGATCGAGCCCCACACTGGGCTCCTCGCTCAGCAGAATCTGCTTCCAGTTCTTTCCCTTGTCCTCCCCTCCTCCTCTGCCACTTCCACCCCAGGGGTGTACTCTCTTTTTCAAATAATTAAATCTTCAAAAAAATATTTAAAAAGTGGGGCGCCTGTGGTTAAAAAACTAGCGGCTCAGTGGTTAGGCAGACTTTTTTTTTTTTTTTTAAAGATTTTACTCATTTATTAGACAGTGAGAGAGGGAACACAAGCAGGGGGAGTGTGAGAGGGAGAAGCAGGCCCCCCGCTGAGCAGGGAGCCGGATGTGGGGCTTGAACCCAAGACCCTGGGATCATGAGCCAAAGGCAGACGCTTAACAACTGAACCACCCAGGAGCCCCAAGGTAGACTTTCTGAGAAACAGTGCAAGTACAACCGTTAATGAAAAAGGTAATACAGACCTATACTTTACGTCATACCCAGGTATAAACTCTAAATGTATCAGGGATCTAAATGCAGAAAATGAGGGTTACCTGATGGCTCAGTCAGTTAAGCCTCTGACTCTGGGTTTCAGCTCAGGTCATGATCTCAGAGTCATGAGATCAAGGCCCGCTTCAGTCTCCTCGCTTCGGGCTCCATACTCAGTGCAGAGCCTGCTAGAGATTCTTTCCCTCCCTCTCCTTCCCCCTCCGCTCACCCACCCTGGTCACACTGGTACATTCTCTCTCTCTCTCAAATATATAAATAAAAATCTTTATATGTAGACAGTGGGGCACCTGGGTGGCTCAATGTGTTAAGTGTCTACGTTCAGCTCAGGTCAGGATCCCATGGTCCTGGGATCAAGTCTCACATCAGGCTCCCTGCTCGGTAAGTCTGCTTCTCCCTTTGCCCCTTCCCCCACTCGTGTTCTCTCGCTCCTCGCGTGCTCTCAAATTATCTTTTTAAAAATAAATAAATAGAGGCGCCTGGGTGGCTCAGTGGGTTAAAGCCTCTGACTTTGGCTCAGGTCATGATCCCAGGGTCCTGGGATCGAGCCCCACATCGGGCTCTCTGCTCAGCAGGGAGCCTGCTTCGCTTCCTCTCTCTGTCTGCCTCTCTGCCTACTTGTGATCTCTGTCAAATAAATAAATAAATAAAATCTTTTAAAATAAATAAATAAATAAATAAATACAGTGAAACCATACAAGTACTACAAGAAAACATGAGTGAATTCCTCTTTAACATAGTATAGGTAAGGGATTCCCAATTATGACTCAAAATCCAGAGGCAGTAAAAATGGGAAGTAAATTTGCCTAGATCACAACAAAAGAAAAACTTTCACCTGGCAAAATAACACCATGGACAAAGTCAAAATACAAGTTACAGAGAGAAAATATTTCTAACAGGCATCATAGAAAAATGGATACTACCCCTATTATATTAATGGATACTAAAACTAGTGGGTAAATGTGAAAATTAAAAGGATATTCATATGGTCTCAAAGAATCATCCAACAAAATACTTATTATAAAAGGAAAAATAACTTTACAATGAAAAACCTGGCAGATACCACTTTAAGCAAGTGATCAAAAGTAACATCTCCAATGACGGGACAAATCTACATGGTGGGCCTCTGGATGTCATGCATGGAAAAATCACAGCTTCACTTCTGTAAAGTTCTGCCAACAAGGAGCCACCTGAACGGTGTCCCGAGGAAATACCAGACAGACCCAAACTGAGAAACATCCTATAAAATATCTGTCGCCTACACTTCAAAATTGTCACTGCCATGAATACAAAGAAAAATGAAGGAACCATTCCAGATTAAAGGAGCTGAGACAACTAAATGCAATGCAGATCCAGGATTTTCTCCCACTACACAGGGCAAATAGCTAGATCTAAATAAGGAACACATCAGACAACAGGATCAGAGTTAATTTCCTAACTGTTTAGTAATGAGCTTATATAAAATATCCTTGTTTTTAGGAAATACACACTCAAGTATTCAAAGAGAATAAAGTCTTATAACTTACTCTTAAATGATATTGAAAACAGGAATATATATATATATATAACATACATTTTGTTTATAAATACATTTATAGGCTTATACATAAAGTCATACATAATGAGAAGAAGAGAAAGAATGAAGTAAATGTGGTAGAATGTTAACATTTTGCGAATCTGGTTGAATGGTATATAGTAATTCTTAAACTAGCCAAACAATTTTTCTGTTAATTGGAAAATAGGTCAAAATAAACAGGAAAAAAAAAAAGCGCAGGGGGTAGAGGGTAAAAAGTATTGAAGAAAACTGTAGATGGGAGGATGGGGTAATTGGGTGATGGGTGTTAAGGAGGGGATGTGATGTAATGAGTGCTGGGTATTATACGCAACTGATGAATCACTAAACTGTACCCTGAACCTAACAATATGCTGTATGTTAACTAGCTTTAATTTAAAATTTTTTGAAGTATTTAAGAAAAGAGAGAACGTTAAGTGTCTTGCCGAAGTAAAGCAAAAACTACCCGAAGAGGAAGAACTCAGAGTGGTAGTTATATACAACTTTCAGAAGTTTACCTTTCCAAGTCACAAAGTGTATCGATATATCTCAAAACACATTATCTTTATCCTTTTCTCTCTCTTAAAGTTAAGCATCTTCCTGCTCAGTGGAAGTGAGCATATCCTCCTTTTAGTTCCTAACACCAAGAGACCCTCCAATACCTGTGGCAGTCCCTGTGTCCAAGGCTACAGAGCCCATATCTTTCCGAAGGCGCTCCAGCTGTTCCTTCTGCTGCTGGCTCTGTGCACTGGCCTGTACATACAGAGAAAAATATCTCCATGTTAAAGAAGGAGTCCTAGGGGCACCTGGGTGGCTCAGTCAGCTAAGCATCCAACTCTTGATTTTGGTTCAGGTCATGATCTCAGGGTTGCTGAGTGTGGAGCCTGCCTAAGATTCTCTCTCTCCCTCCATCCTCTCTCTCTCTCTCTCTCTCTCTCCAAATAACTCACTCTCTCTCCAAAATAAATAAAATAAAATCTGAAAAAAAAAAAAAGGAGCCCCAAGTTAGATGCCAGACTTCTAACAGAGATAACTAAGTAAACAAATACTAGGGACTATTTGGACACTGGGGCAGGTAAGAGATGACGGATACAGAAACGCCAAGCGGTGTGGGTCCAGAGGAGCACAAGTTCAGACCAGAGGGCTCTGGAGACAGAATGAGAGGTTTCAGAAACTGGACATGAGAACACATCAAAAGAACCCTCAAGCAGACAGAGCGGTGGTAAGGGCCCAATGCAGCTGATGAGGGCAGGCCAAGGGATTATTTGGAATAAGCACTGTGAACCACCTCTTTTTTCTTGAAATTCTATAACCAGTCCTTAAATGAGCCTTGGGAGTAGGGGTGGAGTGGGGCCCAAGAAGTGCTTAGCAAATATAACAAGAAAAATCAGACTTTAAAAGATTCAAATAAAGAGAAGAAAAATAATTAAGGGGCCCTGCTGCATCTAGACAGCAAACACACAGATTTACTAACTTAAGTAACAAACATCTACAACATACGCTGATAGCCAAAACAAAAGCATTTACGGCAGGAGGATTAGTGCATGATTTGAAGTTGTTTTTCAGTGGCCCCAAATACACAAATAGCCTATCTTACCAGTGACTTCTTCAGACGTTCATATTCAGGACGATACTCCCTGGAAAGAGAAAACACTTTCTAAATTCCTTTGTTTAATAATCTGTCCTGCCCGCCCCCATACCATTTCTATTTTCCTAGTTCCCTGACAATAACAGAAGACCTTACTTCACTGAACATTGTATGTAACAGGGCTTAATCAGTGAGATTCTATCCCTATGCAATTAGAAGTCAAGATGCTTGCCCCAACCTGAAACCAGCAGAGACAAAAGACTGCTGGCCTGGAAAGATTAACTTTGTGGAGTCCATAACTCATGAGCTCAGCATTTGTTTGGATAAAACTGAGATGAATAAAAAAAGTGAGGTCTGGGGCGCCTGCGTGGCTCAGTTGTTAAGCATCTGCCTTTGGCCCAGGTCATGATCCCAGGGTCCTGGGATTAAGCCCCATGTCAGGCTCCCTGCTCAGCGGGGAGCCTGCTTCTCCCTCTGCCCCTCCCCCTGCTTGTGCACAGGCACACTAGCTCTCCCTGTCAAATAAATTAGAAAAAAAAAAAATTTTTAATGGAGGACTGGTGGGCTCAGGAAGCCCAATATGGAATTATGTGGTTTATCTGGGCAGTAACAAAAGGATACAGAAGGGTCTATCCTGAGATTTTGGTCACACACAGAAAGACCCCTTATCTGATGAATCAAAATCAAAATAATGTGTCTAAAAATGACCATGTGGTTGTTAGAATCTTGCTAAGTATGAAGCCAAAGAAACATGCCAGTAAGCAGCCAATTATCATGGCATCAGCCCAAGGAAAGTGCTCTGATTACACTTCCATGTAAGTAAACAGAATTCCAGTATTAACCATGATAAGAGTAGTAACAACCATTTATCATTAAGTGTGCTTGCTTGGTGTCAGCAACTGTGCTAGATGCTTGGATATATTTTCTCAAATAATGCTCCCAACAACCTTAACAATAAATGCTATTATCCCTGATCTACAAATGACAAAAACTTGCTAAGACCACTCATTTACTCTGTGGAGAACACAGAAATCCAGCCCACAGCTGTCTGACTCCAAAGTCTATGTTCGTAATCCAAGGTCAGCCAGTGTGGCGAAGTGGCCAAATCATGCCTATTTTTGTAAATAAAGTTTTACTGGAACAGCCATGCCCATTCGTTTGCAAATTGCTTATGGATGCTTTACCCCACAATGACAGGTGAGCAGTGGCAACAAAGATCATATGGCCCACAAAAGCCTAAAATATTTACTATCTGGCTTTTTACCAAAAGAAAGTCTGAGACTCCTGCTCTTAATCATTCAATACAGGGGCGCCTGGGTGGCTTAGTGGGTTGAGCCTCTGCCTTTGGCTCAGGTCACGGTCCCAGGGTCCTGGGATCGGGCCCCACATTGGGCTCTCTGCTCAGTGGGGAGCCTGCCTCCCCCGCTCTCTCTGCCTGCCTCTCTGCTTACTTGTGATCTCTGTCTGTCAAATAAATAAGATCTTAAAAAAAAAAAAAAATTAAAAATCATTCAATAGGGAGAAGGTTTTATACTCCTATTTTTAAAAAATAGTTAATGGGGACTTGTTATCCCTAAGTGTACACGTACAGATCCAGCACACATACATATGGCAAAAATAATACCTAGACTATGAGAACCAAAACGCTTTGCTGGCAAAACTGCTATCATATCAGATTACAGCTTACTAAAAATGTCATCATCAGGATTTTCCTTTATCCTCACCTTTCATATTCTTCTGCAGCACTGGTAACTTGCACGAAGAGTTCATCTAAGCCTGTACCCAGAACAGCAGACACACCCACCACCTGTCAAAAGCATCAATGCCACTGAGGAAACTAGATTTTCACATAGTGTACATTACTTTGTTCAAATAATCATGAACTCTTCCTAAAAGCTGTTTAGATACTTCAAGAAATCTCTGGAAAAGAGTGAAGCTAAAACAAAACAAAACAGCACATATACTCAAGAGCCGCGGAAAGACGTGTACGGAAAAGAGAGGACTAGAAAAAACAGAAGGAGGAGAAACACATAGCAAGACTTCCTATCTATTTCCTGCCAATACAACCACTGTCTGTTCTCTACAAAAATCAGTATTGCAATGCCTTTGCTTGGCCAATTACCATCCTCCCTGACACCCCAATGTACTTTTACTTATATAAATCATACCCTTCCTGGGAGCCTGGGTGGCTCAGTCAGTTAAGCGTCTGCCTTCAGCTCAGGTTGTGATCCCAAGGTCCTGGGGTGGGATCCTGCATTGGGCTCCCTGCACAGCGGGGAACCTGCTTCTCCCTCTACCTCTCTCCCTGACTCATGCGCACACTCTCTCTCTCCTCCACGCGCACGCACATACATAAAAATAAATAAAATCTTTAAAAGAATAATAAAAAACCGAATCATAGCCTTCCTACAAAGCATACCTCTAATGCTATATCCTCCAAAATCCCTCATTTCAAGAGTGATCTGCCCTTACCAGCATCAGGCCCAACCACCAATCTTTATAAGGTCCTTATCACAATACATCATGTTTCAATTCTGTATGTAGCCCTCTCTTCAAACTAAACCATAAATTCTGAAGGTAGGGTTTTTACCTTATTTTTTTTTTAAAGTAATCTCAGTGCCTAACGTGGGGCTCAAACTCACAACCCCAAGATTAAGAGCCAGCCATATGCTCTACTGACTGAGCCAGCCAGGCACCTCTATTTATCTCTTAGACCTCCAGTTTTAAAACTGGCCAGCAACATGCAAAAGAATGAAAAAAAAAACCCACAAAACTCCAATTTTTAATAACTAAATGCTTAAATGCTTTTTTTAATAAGGTAATGAACTTCTTTTCTAACATAGGTTCAAAGCCGGCCCTATGGGTTAAGAGGTCGTCTGAAGGGACTGTCAGTATAAGCAGAGGAGAAAGTTTACCCTAAGTGAGCTGTAAAACTCATCTAACACCAGGCTCATTGAACGAGTCAGGTTACTGACGTATGTAGTCTCTTGATTCAAGGCATCTTGGAAAGCCTCAAAATCTTGCATCCATTCCACTGCAAAGCTGTGGTCAATGATGTCAGTCTGTACCAGAGAGAAGTCAACTATCAGCACCCAGAGATGTGCTTAGGTAGCAAACATTGAAAACATTTTAATCAAGCAGCAACAACAAAGCAATTATTCATATATTTTTGCCTCCACTTCCCCCCTTCCCTCCTCCACTACAACAAACCATAAAGGGCCAAGACTATTGTATATAATGAAACGATGGTATGTGTTCTCTTGGTTGAAGCAGACCCTTCACTATCCACTGCCAAGTGACCATGGCAACAGCAGACGCCAGCACATTCTAGGCTCTGAAGTCCTATCTCGAATCCCAGCTGTCAACCCAACAACAGTGAAGTTTTCTGTTTTAACTGAGACTGCTAATAAACTAGCAGTCCCTCCCCCATATACACAGTTGCAATTCTGAGGAACAACCTATACACTACAGTTGAGGGGCTACTCTAGCTAGTTTAAAATTACTTTGATGAGAGCCAGTGATAAATATTCATTCAATATGATTGAATCTTTTTCCTACAAGTGCTCATGACTTTGTTTCAGATAAGTTTGAATCTGTTCTCTGACTTGTGAAAATCCTCACCTACCCAAACCTTCCAGTAACCCAAGGTTCTGATGAAAAAGAAATACTGAACCACAAAAGAAAGGATCCACTTACTTTATTCATAACCACAATGAAAGGCAGCTTGGTTTTGTACAAAATGCTGAAAAGTAAACATCAAGACATTTTTAGTAAAAACACTTAAGCTCTTACTAGCCCGGTGTCAATCTGTTCGAACCAAGTAAAGACAAGTGGAATGGGTTCAGACTCTACTTATAGGTATCCACTCTCACATGCCTTCATTCTTCTCTCCCAAGAGGAAAAACCACCATTACCATCAAGCAAACAACACACACACACATGTTCGCTTTTTCTTGGAATAATAATGCTTTAATACTGATCTTGTTTTCTGTATATGTTTTTTGTTGTTATTTTTTGGGGGTTTTTTTTGTGTGTGTATATGGGTTTTTTTTGTTTTGTTTTGTTTTGTTTTTTGGTAGGGTTGTTTTTACCAAATAATTGCCTTCTAAACAATAAATATGGAAACAAAAAATGCCATCAGTCCTCAGATTTCTATGTGGACTAGGATTTCTTGCATCTAACAAGGGATAGCCCTAAGTCATATTAGAAGGCACAAATGCTGGTAATGGCTTTTGTGTACCTTCCCCCCAATGAATTCTCTCAGATTTAATAATAGTTTGCCTTGCTCCTATGTCTTCTGCATTCATATACTCTAGTGAGGCATGGTCCTTCTGTCCCTAATGACACCACGTTGGGCAAACTTGTGCTTTGTGGAATTACAGATAAATCTCTTTATTCATAATCTCCTGTAATTTAACTCTACATGTCATAACACAGAAAAGGAGCATTTAGACCAGAGGGCTCTGTTCTATTTAGATTTGTTTCATTCATCTGGGAGCAACTACCAAAGGTTCATATTCATACACCACCCGTTTCTGTAATAAGCAAGGGAGGAAGATGAGATGCTGCTCCAGAGAATGCCAACACATATGCCTCTTTTCTCTTCTAACCTCTCCCCACCTCAGAACTACTAAACTGAGGGCCACATCTGAATGAGCACAAATCCAGGTTAATAAGTACTCGGGATTCAAATACAAAAGAGAAAAGAAGAGGCCTCCTCCCTGGATGTAACAGCATGCCTCCCAGCAATCAATTACCTGCAGGCATACAGCATATTGGACATGAAGGTCACTGGGTTGGTACTTCTTGATGTGTCCATTACATAAATGACAACTGTTGGAAATGAGGATGCCTAAAGCCACAAAATAATCACAGCCTTAGTCAAAGGGCTCATGAGCTATTCCCAAACTCTTTTTCCACCTTCCTTAGCAAGGGAGAACAGCCTTAGGCTGGGTATACAGAGCTGCCACAACTCTCTCCCATACAAGGTCCCATGCAATAAAAAGATGCTTAACTAGTCTAGCTCTCTAGTTACTCCCAGTAACCAGTCCTACAATACTCACTAGGGCCTCAGTGATGATTGTCCCAGAAGCTGACCACGTGAACACCTCAATCTGTCCAGGTGTGTCAATCAAGACGTATCTGTGTCAAGAATGACCATCAAAGAAGTATTACACTCGTGCAATGGTGAAAGATAGCACAGCACACAAAACACCGAGAATCTGGTTATTCGGGACTGGAATAACCTTGTCACACTGTCAAGTCTAACTTCCTCCCACTGCCCTTAAAACGTACACCACATTCCCCTAGGCTTTGTTCAATGTCCAATATTTATGCTACCAGGCAGGAGCAGTAGTCCACAAACTGCTGCAAATTGATCACAGAGGAAACCGTGATAGTTTCAGAAACACACTGTACTGAAAATGAGACATAAACAAAACCAAATTTCTTGGGAAACTATCTGGTTTCTTGGGGTGGGCGTGAAGGAAGGTGGAGGGGAAGGAGGAAAACAGAGATAGGGGAATAATAGCTAAATACAGGGTTTCTTCTTGAGGTGATGGAAATATTCTAAAAGTGACTGTAGTTATGGTTCTACAATTCTGTGAATATACTAAAAGCCACTGGACTGTACACTTTAAATGATATACGAATTACATCTAAATAAAGCTGTTTTTAAAAATAAGCAAAAAATTTTGAATGGACATTTCTCCAAATATATACCAATGGCCAAAAAGTACATAAAATGATGTTTAACACCTTTAATCACTGAGGAAATATAAATCAAATCCGATACCACAATGAGACACCACTTCACACCCAATGACATGGCTATAACCAAAAACAAGGATAATAACTAATGTTGGCAAGCATGTGGACCAGGAACCCTCACACAATGGTGGTGAAAATGTAAAATGGTACAGCCACCTGGAGCTGGGGCGAGAAAGGAGAATAACAGGAACTGCTAATGAGTATGGAGTTTCTTTTGAGGATGAAGAGAAAGTTCTGGAATTAGATAGTGGTGATCAGTAAATGACTTTACGAATATACTAAAAACCACTACATTGTATATTTAAAAATTGGAATGGGCCTTTGTTATGTGAATTTATATCTCAACAAAGCTGTTACTTCTTTTTAAACTACCTCTAGTAGTTTTTTATAAAAACTGTTTTTTTGTGAAACACCTTATCCATCCATCCTTCTACGTATATATGCATGGAAACATGTGGAATGATAGTCACTGACAGTAGTAATGACAATTATACCTATAATATTATATAATAATACTATATGTTATACATTATAAAATAATAGAACACAACATAATAGTAATAATGATAGTTGATTCTACTAGGAATCAGGGTGAAATAATTTCATCTCTTAAATATTATGCATAGTTGTAAATCTTTTTAGGATTTATTTTTAAACAAGGGTTAGAAAGATGTTTCAGAGATTTTAATACCCACAAATGTGGTTTTCCCAAGAGAAGGCAAGTAGACAACAGAATTTGGACAAAGTCTCAAAAATACCTCCTAGGAAGCCACGGGCATATATGACAGTGATTGAGGGCAAAATACTAGTAAATTTAGCTCTTCACTCTATATGACCTTAATGTGGGGTTTTGGGGTTTTTCTGGCCTACTTTTTTTCTTTTGCTTCTAATGGTTTCATCTCAATCTACATTCTTTCGGAGTTTGATGGTATCCTGAAATCCTTGAGACATGTCAACTACAGAGTAATAAATTGGTGTTAAACTGAAATCACTTACTTAGACATGCTCTGGGCCTTCTCGATAAATTTCATCACCTAAGAGAAAAAGATGCCGATTACAACAGGATCCATTCTCGACACAAAAATCACCCTTTCCAGGGTGGCCCAACTTACAGGCACTATCAACTATTCAATCTCTGTTCTCAATCTTGAGACACCAACGTATAAACTCCACGAGCTAAAGAAACACAGCCACACCAGCAGCCCTGCAACGCCCTGGAGTGTACTGCCAGGCCCTGAGAAGCTAAAGATGATCCGTCACTGTCGGGACGCATCTCTTGTTGCTTCATAAAATGTTAACAACCTGTCTCACGGAGTGACATCAGGGTAAAAAATGAGCGATTACAAAACACTCTTATGGAAATAGATGATAGAGAAAAACTTAAACAGTGACAATTATTTGTCACATGTAGAAAAGCCCATTATCTTTCCATTCCATGCCCGCTAGCCCATCCCACTCCCCATTTGTCCACTCCATCCTCAAGGTGATACTCCAAGCCAAGATACAAAAAAAAAGAACCTGGATTTTTGTTTTATTGGCCATCACAAATATTAAATGTGAAGTGTCTCAAAACATTGATCGTCCTTTCATAACCTCCTTCTCTGTCTACCAAAATGCTTATTTATTTTCTATGTATGTCCAGGTTTATTGCTCTTCTTTCTCAAAGTGAGCAAGCTAAGGCATTTAAAAGTCAAACATTTTTACATAGCCATGCCTATAAAAGCAAAGACAGACATACCTGATCAAATCTCGTAGCAAAGAGATTGAGTGACGTCACTATACCACCATTGGGCCCAAGTCCATACCTGGACGCTAAGTTGAGGATTTAAACTACTTACAGATCAAATTAGATGCTGAAATTCATACTAAGGCTATCATTCACACAAACAGCATTGTAACAGTAGTGTTCCATGAATGGATGCTGGCAGCCTATCCTTGACATACCATACAACCTTAACCACACAAAGAATTTCATTGTCAACATATTCCTCATATCTTTATCATTTTGGGGATGCCGAGGCCAAATGAAGACGTTAAAGTGACCAAAATGTAACAGAGAGATGCATGTGGAAGTGACAGCTTAATAGCATTAGTCATTAAGATCATCTTAAAATATCATTAAGACATCACACTCCCGGGTGCCTGGGTGGCTCAGTGGGTTAAGCCTCTGCCTTAGGCTCAGGTCATAATCTCAGGGTCCTGGGATCGAGCCCCAAATCGGGTTCTCTGCTTGGCAGGGATCCTGCTTCCCCCCACTCTCTGTCTGCTTGCCTCTCTGCCTACTTGTGATCTCTCTCTCTGTGTCAAATAAATAAAATATTAAAAAAAAAAAAATCACACTCCTTGCTCTGATCCTCACTGATCAAGCTAACTGCTGCGTAGAATTTGTCTATCCACCTAGACCTACCTACACGGAAAGTACACATTTCATAGAGCAACATACTAAGAGCTGATCCTACTAAATGAACCTGCTCATTTCTGAGTCTCCCGGTCAGAGGAGGCAGTGGCCTCCAAGGCGATACTGCTCTCTGGAACCAGGCCCAGCATCAGCTAGCCTCTCACTTTCCATGCTAACTACAACAGCCTGTGGTCTAGGAAGAAGGTAAAAAAAACTGAAACCACAAGCTGAAACAGTATTTCTAATCACCTAAAATACCTCTCCTCACATTCATCTCTCTATCCTCAAAAATTACTTAAAGCAATTAAATGCTTTTGCTAGTGTATTTCACAGAGAAATGCAAAAACACTCTCAAAGCCACAAAAAAACAGACAGCAACCAGTCAGGGATGAGTCAGCACTAAAGCAGATGCCGAAAAGGATACTGTTTCATGACTTCTTTATACTTCACAGTGTCACGAATATCTGTTCAGAGGAAAAAGAATTCACTGGAATTTAACACATAGAAACAATACAGTTTGAGACTCTCTACCTATAATATACTCAGACAATGGACCCCTCAAGTCATCTCTGCTTCCTCCGAGGAAAAAAAATAGGTTTCTCTCTTGGCATCTCAGTTACTTTTCAAATCTGTTTTCCAAAATTTTAAGCTAAGGTCACTGAACTGTGATAGGGGAAAAAAGCAAGATGGTGAAGAGAACAAAAGGGTAGAAGTACATTCTCTCCCAGCAAGAAGCTGAAACCAGGCTTTCAGGCTTCTCTTATCTGCATTCTCTTCTACTAAATCCCCCAGCTTCACCCTGGATTCCTTCTTTACAAAAGATAAGGGGGGGGGGCACACCCGGGTGGCTCAGTCAGTTAAGCGTCTGCCTTTGGCTCAGGTCATGATCCCAGGATCCTGGGATCGAGCCCCCGCGTCAGGCTCCCTGCTCAGCGGGAAGTCTGCTTCTCCCTCTCCCACTCCCTCTGCTTCTGTTCCCTCTCTCGTTGTGTGTCTCTCTCTGTCAAATAAATAATAAAAATAAACATTTAAAAAAAAGATAACTGGGAAGTAACCCATGAAAAATGTTAGCTAAGAGCTCAGAGTTATGGTAGAAATGATCTTAAACAATGAGAAGTTTTACTGGTTTTGGTTTTTGTTTTTTAAGTAATGTGGCAAGGCTGGGGTTATTTGGGGTTTTTCTGTTTTTCTTTTTTTGAGTTTTTTTTTTTTTTTTTTTTAACTTACTTGAGAAAGAGAAAGAGAGAGCCCATGCACAAGCAGGGGAAGGAGCAGAGAGGGAGGGAGAAGGAAAGGGAAAGAATCTCAAGCAGACTCTCCACTGAGCTGGAGCCCAATTCGGGGATTGATCTCATGACCTGAGCTGAGACCAAGAGTTGGATGGTTAACCAACTAAGCTACCCAGGTGCCCCAGGAGTCTGCTTCTCCCTCTCTCTGTCCCTCCCCCTGGCACTTTCTCTCTCTCTTAAATAAATAAATAAAATCTAAAAAAAAATAAAGAAAAAATGAAAATGAAAACATTAAGGACTGGTGGGCTGGGGGCTTTCCTTATTCTGAAGGACTTCACACAGTTCTGTTACATTTTACTCACCAATATTGGCAGGAAAGGGTACTTCATGTACAGCTGGGTCCAGATTAATCACATAAGGTGGAGAGCCTTGGCTATGCAGATGTCCAGTAAGCCTCTGTAGAGATATAAGAAGAGGGATGGAGTGAGACAAAGAGGGGCCAAGATTCCTTTATCCATCATACCTGAAGACTTCTGCACTTACATTTCCCTCTAAATGAAATATTCGTCCCCAGTATCCACCTCCAACATTCAACTCTCATAAATGCTATATTTTTCTTTATCACCCATCTAACAGAGTCTCCCCTACTCTTGATCACTTATTTACTTGATTTTTGTGAGGTTTTTTCCTATCACTCCCATTAAAATATTAGCTTCAAAAAGCGGGAACCCCGTCAAATTCAATCGCTGTTATCTCCAGGGCTTGAAACATAAGAGCCGCGTAAGAAATAATTATTTAGTAATCTACACCAAAAGCCTGTGTGCTAACCCTGTATTAATTGCCAGTTACATGTATGCCTCTGTCTTCGAGGAGTCGGCAATTGTACCGGCAAGACAATTCCAGAACAACGTGGTAAATTGTACCAAATATGACCTAAGGGTGTGAAGAAGAGAGCCTTAATTAAACCAGGCTAGAGTCCGAAAAGGCCAGCCTAGGAAGGAACCGGAGATGCTGGCAAGTTCCTGAAAGCCACACGCGGGTCCCCTCCAACTCTGAGAGATCTCCCCCTCCCCTTCTCCCCGGCCTTCCGCCCACCACTGACAACCTCGCGCGCGCACCGGCTACGCCAGCGCCGTGTACGTCACCTGGACAAAGGTGGTTTTCCCAGATCCTGCCATTCCCAACACCAACAGACAAACTGGGGGCCGAGGACCCCCCGAAGCCTGCGAGTCAGCGGTCTCCACGGGCGCCGCCATTTTCCTCCTGGCTCCGCCCACTCTGCCATAGAGACGCTGCGTGCCTAGAGAGGCTGCGGTGACGCTCGGGGCTGCGAGGGAGGCTGGAACCCGACTAGCGCTAAAAGCGAAGGCGAAGGGGCGGGACCGGCGCCGGAGCATCCTAGCCCCCGGGCCAACTAGCGACAGTGGCCGAGAGTCCTGGAGAGGGCCAGGAAAAGGGGCACTCACCATCGTAGGGGTGTTCTGGGAGGGGCAAAACTCTGATCCCCAGAAGGGCGAGACAGGATGGGGTCCCTAAGGGAGGGCACCCACGGGTCGAAAAAGAGAGTGCGTTTCTCTTTCGGCCCCCAAGGAACGGGACAACCGGCTGCTGGGGCTTATTCGGCAGCCGACGAGGTTCAGCAGCTCAGGGATGGACCGGCCGGGACTGGGGCGGAGTGCGACCCGGCGAGTTGCCGGGCAGCGTGGAGACCCATGGCGTACGGCACGGAGAAGTTGCGAAAACTCCCCGCAAGGGGACGCCATTTCCAAGTGTCGCGAGCCCCTGACACCCCCGCTCCCTCCTTAACAGTCTCCTTCAGTGAATCAGGCCGTGACCTTGGAGATGAACGCTTGGATTCCTGGAGCAAGTAGGTACTGAAGGGACGCTTCTCTCCACGGAAGTGTCCTCGGATACCGGAAGGGTGGTGGAAAAGCCGTGAAATTTATGGCTATTCTGGACCATCCCGGCTGTTCCTGTGGTCCTCTGTAGCTACTGTAGTGTTGAGTAAATCCTAAAATCTGGATTTCACACCCACACTCTGCCACTCGCTGACGGCATCAATCGTGGCCAAGTCATTTAAATTCTCCGAACCTGTTTTCTCCTCTTTAAACTAGAGTTAATACCTCACAGGGCTGGAGTGAGTTAGCATTGTAAATTGTGAACTACACTCGTTCATCTTTATCCCTAGCTGTATTCCTTGGTGACTTGCATAGCGGCAGAACCATAATAGGTACTCAAAGATATTTCCTCGTATGAATTAAAGTATAATTGTGTATTTTGTATTTACTGAATGTTCATTAAGAATTGATGGGATGTCTCACTTGTTCTTCCTTCAGGTTTGCTAAGGATTCTAGGAGTTCCCCTCCACCGTATCTTAGTTTAATTAATAATTTTTTCAAGCCAGGGAAGCCAAAAAACTCAGAGATGAGGTTTAAAGAAAAGGCAGTGGTGGAAATAGCGAGGCTGGACAACCAAATAAAACAAGCTCAAACCCAGCAAGAATTACTAATGGAGGAGACCAGGCAGCTCTACGCTGAAAAGTTCCTCGTCCAGAGTGAAAACAAATTCTTTCTGGAATACCTAACCAACAAAACTGAGGAGTATAGAAAGCAGCCTGAAAAGCTGTGGAACAACTATTTACAAAAAAGTGAGGAGATTGAACAAAGGAGGCAAGAATCAGTCTCCACGTATGCGAAACAAACTTCAGCCTTTAAAAGGGAGCTCTTGCAGAAGGAAAAGCTCCAGTTCAATTTAAAGCAGCAGTTGCAGGCACTGAGGAATATTTCACTCTTAAAAGAGAAACAGGAGAGAGAAATGCAGATGTTACAGGAGGAGAAAAAGAAAACCCAAGCTGAGACAGAGGCAAAGAAACAGGAACTCCAGGTCCAATTACTCCAGGAAAAAGCATTCCTGGAGAAACAACTCAGTGAGCCAGACATGAGGCAGCTGGGAAACAGAAAAAGAAAGGCGCTGGACAGGAAGGCCCAGACCTTGGAGCTGGAAGCAAAGCAGTATACTTTGGAGTTCTACCGCAGCATCAGGAGAGAGAACCGGGAGTTACAGAAGAAATTACTGCAGCAAACTCAGCAGTGCCAGGACTTACAGGCTATTAAAAGCCAGTTAAAAAATCAGAAGCAGCAGCTGCAGCAGGAACAGTGGTATGTGCAGTGCTTGATCCGGGGGAGGCAACGAATGCAAAGGAGGCATAACTGGTGCCCAAGACAGGATGCTCCCAAGGACCACAGCGCCCCCTGAGTATCAAACCAAGGATTAATCCAAAGCAGTTCCTAAAATAACAGATTAAATAAGGACTGGAGTGAATATTCTTATGTGCTGTATACACCTGGTTAGGAAAGCTTTGGCATCTCAGAATGCTATGGTAAAACATCCTCGTGATGTGTTTAGTGGGAAAGATTAGGTGCGTTCTTCCAGCAGTACTGCTAGATATTTGTGCCACCAGCTTCCCTTAATTAGGTTTTTCCTTAATTAGATCTTGTAATAAATGGGATGTTCCTCAAATCTCCAGATAACATAATACCATTTCCCAAACACAAGTACCTTAAACTAGCTCAAGAAAACCACCTTGAGGTAGTGAAAGGAAAACAGTTGTGTGATTTATTTCATCTAAGTAAGTTAGATTTCTAAGAATAGCATTTCAGACTGGATTTGTATAGTGCCCCTGCTCTGTAAACCACCAGTTATCCTTATGCCTCTTGGCCAGCTGCACACAAAGAAGGCCAAGTGCTTTTAAAAAAGCTCTTTTGCAAGTCTGCACCAGGGGCCAGGCAGCGGCTCCTTCTATGGTTTTGTCAAGAGTGGAAAAATAACCTAAACAGCACCATCATTAACAGCGAAGCTGGAGGAGGGGGCCGGAGCACTGTGCAGAATGACCTTTTGTCTAACGCTCAGCCCTTACAGTGTTAGCTTTGAGTAAACTGAGAAGGGAACAGCAGATAAAGGGTATGTCTATTAGGTCAGCTCTTACTTTTGAAAATCTTGTCTGTGAAGAAATACCTCTGGCATTAATGAGGTCACTGTTAAGTTCAGGAAAATATATGAAAAGCAGTTTTTAACATATTGGGACTTTCAAGGGTCTTGTGCCATCTATTTCCCTAACATTCTAAATTCTAAGACAAGATTAGTTAACGTTAGATGTAATAAGTACTTCAGTTTTAGGTCACGGATTACATTTTCTTACTATGTGTGCACTTGATAGTACATGAAATGCCTTTTGTAATTAATATGTGCCTTATATTTATGTCTGTTTAGGAGAACTGGGAATATTTTTAATTAGTATAGACTTTTAGGGTAGTTTTTAAAATTTTTTTTGCACTTAAAGACATACTGATGGTTGGACTCTTTTATTTCTTTGCATGCTGAATCCCAGGTACAGGAATATAAAATAATCCCATATTTTAACATCACTCCTGTATGGGAAAATAAAGGTAACTTTATGTTTTCCAGAAATTGTCAGTGATGAAAAACTTCAAAATAATTTTCCTGAATTTTCAGTTTTATTCCTATGTAAAATGAATTCCTTTAAAATTGTGGAGTAAAATCTTTTTCTCCCTCAATGCCTTCAACTTCTAGCTTTAACAATGTTTTTGTTAAATATGTAGTTTGTTATTAAAAATAAAAACCTTAGATTATAATGTATCTGTTGATTTTTTTCCCCCGGGGTATTTTCTACTTCATCACTCTTCTCTCTTTTACTGCTACTGCGTATCTTATTCTTACTAGTGTACACATAATAAAACTGCAATTTCAACACAGAAAGTAGAATTTTAGATAGTATGCAGAGTACCTTAACCTGAATACTTCGGTTCTTGAGCTGAAAATACAGAAAGACTGAACTTGAAAAACATGGTAACTAAGACAAATTTGAACCCCTATTCTCTGTGGATGCAAAAATGCAAAAAAGCATAGGAAAATAGATACTAAGACTATAAGAAGTTGAAAGTAGGAGGGATTTGGAATCTTACTATTCTGCTGTTAATTTCCCTCCTGCCTTTGCTGTCCCAAATATCTAATTGGGGAGCGGATAACTTCCATCCCATACATTTATTTTTAATTCCTATCATCCCAAATAATGAATGGTGTATTGCTTTATGTCTGTCCCTTTCAGAGTTAGGTCTCAACACTTGGAAGATTTTAGAGGGTGGTGAATTATCTGATAAGGGTAACTTGAAATCCATACGTGCCAAGTAAGCAGTAGGTTGGCCAACTAAACTCAACCTACTTTTAGCCTGCTCAGCTATGAAGAAGATGAATGAGGGTGATGTTACAGAGAGTGCATTTAGATGGAAAAGACCTCCAAGGTGAAATTTAGGTTAAGATCTAAATGATACAATGAAGCCCACCTTGCAAAAATCAGGGAAGAAGCCGCTCTGGGCAATGGGAACAATAAGGTAAAGGTCCTAAGACGGGAATGAGGCTTAGTAGGTTCCAGGAGCTAAAAGGTTAATGTGGCTAAAGTGCTGTTAGGGAATGGTCAGAGAACAGATGGAGTAGAATGGAGTAGAGGGAGAGGAAACTAAAAGGGTTAGCAGTGGGAGCAGAACGCCTTAGGGGACAAAGAGGAAGTGACTTTAATGGCTCCAGAAACCAAGCTTTTTAGCAGGCGAATGAGGTCTGATTTACAATTTTAAAAACTCAATACAGCTGTTATGCGGCAAGTATCCAAGCCAGTAAAAACCAGAAAGAAGCAATCAGGAAACTATTACGGTCTAGCCAAGAGGTGATGATGGTTCAGACTGGGGTGGCTGAAATAGAAGTGACTAGAAAGAAGAGCAGACTAAAGGGTAAAGGGAAAATGAAGGGTTAAGGATGAAGCACAAGGGAAATTTCTAAAGTGTTCCCTTTTAAGAAGATGGTGAGCAGCATAAGTTGTGAGAACTGATTTTTAAAACGAAGTATTTCAGACACACAATATAGACCAGAACAAACTACCTACCACCTTAAGAAATAAGAACTTAATTCACTTGTAGTCCCTCTGAATCCCAGAAGCACTGTCCTAAATTTATCATTCCTGCATATGTAAATGTGATATTAAACTAGAAATGTACACTAAATACAAATACTTATATAGCATAGAAATCGATATTTTTATACACCCATAAACAATATAGAGCATGGTTTTTGTTTAAACCTTATATAAAATGGCACACTTCATGTCCACTGTAACTTGCTTTTCCCAGACATTATTTTTGAGATGTCTTTATGATACAAGCAGCCCTAGTTAATTTTATAAGCTGTACAGTAATCCACCGGATGACTCTATCACAACTTATCCCTTCTCCTGATGGACATTTAGATTAGTATTAGAGTAGGCTAACAAAGACACCCAAGAATATATAATGCCTCAAATAACAGTTATTTTTTTCTCTTTAGTAGTTTCAGACAGATGTACCTGGTTGGTAATTAGTCCTTCATGGGGGGATTCAGGGTATCACCTATTTTCCATTTTGTGCTCTGCCATCCCCCAAAGACACTTTATTATCTGCATCCAGCCAAGGAAGAGGAAAGAAAACATAGAGGTACATGCACTATCTTAAAAGTCTAGCCTGGATGTGATACATGTCACTTTCCTCACGATCTACTGCTGGGAAGCTGGTTGGCTACCCCTTCACTACAGGGCAGGGGTTTAGAGGGCTGGGAAACATAGCCTAACCACTTGTCCTATAGCCCTGTAATTGTAAGGTGAGAGCAGATTTTGGTGGACAGCTAGTAGTCTCTGCTACGTGTTGTAAACCATACCACAGTATCATTCTTTGTTTATGTCTCCTGGTACAGCTGACCAAGAGGATTTTTCTCTGTTATGTACCCGGGAGTAAAACCGCTAAGTCTTAGGGCGTATTTTCAGCTTGACTAGATACTGCCAAATCATTTCCAAACTGACTGTACCAAATTTACGTTCCAAACCGTCCATCAGAGTTCACATTCTCCACAACCTGGCTATACTCAGTATTGTCAAATTTATATTATCCCAATAAATTTGGTTTAAAAATGTAAAGACTCAGTGGTATGAATATGATACTCTCTACTGAGTCCTGCTGAGAACTGGCCTCAGAAAGGGAAAAAAATTTAAGATTTTATTTGACAGGGAGAGAGAGATCACAAGTAGGCAGAGCAGCAGGCAGAGAGAGAGGGAAGCAGGCTTCCCGCTGAGCAGAGAGCCTGCGGGGCTCCATCCCAGGACCCTGAGATCATGACCTGAGCCAAAGGCAGATGCTTAACGGACTAAGCCACCCGGGCGCCTCAGAAAGGTAAAATTTTTTAAAGTGCCTGCAAGGGCCTTGGATGAGACTGGACAAGTTTTCTATACTAATTCACTTTAATCTCAAACGAATTACTCATTTTAACCAGCAGATTTCAGGGGCTAAAAAACTATCGTGACCCCTGCATTTGGTACTTATTTCAAACCCACTCCCATGTCTAGCCATTGTCTTACCCCCATACGCTGTGTCAGCAAGGAGTCGAGTAGCAGATCGAAGTCAATGAACAACTGGAAACATCTTTCTAACCGACAGTCATTTATTTCTTTTGTCATTGCCCAACATTCCCCAAGTCTTACTCACCAGAAATTAATATAGCTTCTTCATTTCTCCTCCCTGACAATCCTCATCTACCAAAAGGGTTTTTAAAGGTGCAACTGCCCAGGAAAATGTAGAGTGGACAGACCGCGTCCTTGACTTGTTTCAAAACTATCTATTCTGCCAGTATCCAAATCTGGTTTCAATGCTCCCTTGTTTGAAAGTGGTCTTCACAAAAGCCCACATTTTAAAGCTATGTGGAGCGGCACAGAACACAAACCTCAAGAGTAGTAACAGCCTTTGAGAATTTGAACAGGTAGTATTTATCCATATCAGGGTTCGGGGTCTTTGCTCTTTAGGTGCCACAAAAATTGGCAAGAATATAGAAGACCAGTATTTGTGGAAAGGGGGAAGAGAATCTAGAAACACAGCAACAGAGCTGTTCTAAGCAACGCTCCAGAGAAAGCCAGCCTTGAAGAAAAGTAGCCCACCAGACATTTTTTATCAGGTAGGCGTGAGGTACAGTAAAGGAATTTTTCTTTCCAACATCAGATAAATAGCCACCTCTGGTGTCAAAGTCTCAAGATATAAAGAGGATAGAACTCCACATATAAAAGAGGACAAACAACAATATTCTCAGAAAACTCCCAAGAGACAGAGGTTGGCTAAAGGGAGGAATGAAGACTTACAATGTAGAGTAACAAGTGAGGTCAAGTCCAGGGGAGAAGGAATGTGTACCTTGGCTGCCAATCTTAGTGGCATTACCGGGAACACTAGGGTTCTGTGTCAAAACATCAAGTGCAATGTGATTATTTCTCAATCCTTAAAACGGGGGGAGAAAAAACAAGCTTCCAGAGGGCACTGATCATAACAACTAATGAGGCCTCAAGCCCCAACAAAGTCAAGGCAGTATTTATTGCTTCTTCTACTTCCTTCTTTCCAATCATTTTCACATTTGGGACATGTTAATGTTTGGTCTGCTTTTCATGCTTGTGGGTCTAGTCAGTCAGTCACCGCTACTTGGGACAAACAAAACATTTCCCAGGAAAACCAGTGTAGAGAGGTTCTAGCTTTTTCATCCTAAATCCATTTTCTTACTTTCAATCCTAAAACCATATTGAGAGAACAAACAGCCTCCATAAAATCTGTTTCCCAAGGAGACAGGATAAGCTTATGACATGAGTGACGACAGTTCTAGCTTCTAGGATTGTTATATCACAAATACAAAATGAGAAGTCAGTATGATTTTTAAAAATTAATTTGGAATTGTTTTATAAGCGAGATGATGGAATGACTACTTAATCAGTGGAGAGTCCAAGAACATTCTATAGCCCAGGAAGGAAAAGGACAACCAAACGGGTTTCTCAGTTTTGTAGAGGGCAAGAGGGGCCCACAGTTAACCTTAAGAGGGAGCTCTTTGGGCAAGAGAAGAGAAAAACAAGAGGACTCCAATGAGGAATAGCAGGAAAACCTACCCAAAAGGGGTGGGGATGGGGGTGGGGCCAAAGTGAATAAATAGGGAGAACAGTGAAATTTACACAGGAGGAAGGAGCTGAGAAAGTCACAGCCTTACACAAACAGCTGGAAAAGGACATTTCTCCTCACTCAGCCCCCGTGACTCAGTCCTCCCAGCACAGGTCCCCATGACAACAGCATCACGTCCACCCTCCTAGGAGCTTTCGCACTGCCTGCCTACTTCCTTCCTCGTTTATGGTTAGTCTTTGGGGGCTTTGCTTTCTGGAACTGTGCCGGCACAGGCTCCTGCTCCGGTTCCTTACAGGAGGCCGACACTAGCAATTCCTCATTACTCCTCCTCTGATCCTTCCCTACTCTAAGACTCAGCTCTGCCTCTGGAAGCTCGATGCCAGGCTGCTGCAGCCTTCGCAGAGACCTTCTGCTCCTGTGCTGCTGCCTCCGCTTTTCTTCTTCCTGCTGACGCTGCTTTATCTTCATTAGCTTTTCAAAGCTTTTGGTTGTCGTCGGGTTTACAACGAACCAATCCTACAGAGGCAAAATGGAAAAACCATCCAGTCAATACACAGTAGCGAGCACAAAGAATGAGTGTGGGGAGACATTCTTTACTTTTTTTTTTTCTTTTGAAGATTTGAGAGACAAAGAGAGCATGAGGAGGGGGTGGGGCAGAGGGCAAGAGAGAATCCCAAGTGGACCCCCTGCCGAGCCTGGAGCCCAACACAGGACTTGATCCCACAACCCCAAGATCATGACCTGAGCTGAAATCAATAGTCCGCCAACTCAACTTCCCCTGGGTGTGGGAAGAATCTCTAAAAGGCATGGTTAGGGCAGCAGGCATTAAGAAGGAAACAGATAGGAACCATAACTTATAACTCTGTACTTTGAACTGGAGAAATTCAATACAGAGTAGTCATTACAAGCATTTACTATCTAAGACATGATTTGGGAGACTTCAGTAAGTGATCTACAAAGTCTGGTCCTTTAGCATCATCCCACTCATTTATCTCCTTTAGAAAAATCTCATGAGCTAGAAAGCACTGGGCCATAGGAGATTTTTATTTCACGGTAGTATGGTGGTTAAGGGTATGAACTTTGCAGCCAGACCGCCTAGGTGCAAATCCCAACTGTTTCTAGCTCTATGACCATGGGGAAATTACTTAACCTCTCTGAGACTCAGTTTAAAAAATTAAGAGTTGAGGAACATGGAATCCAATTGTGAAACATTCTTGTGGAAGGAAGTAAGGGAGGAAGGAAGGGAGGGAGGGGATGGAAGGAAATGAATTTCAACTGAAATTGAGTGATCTGATCAGTCTTCTAGATCTAACTACCAATTTATAGGAAATATCTGAGAGAGGACCACCACCACAGAAATGCAATCAGCAAAACCCAAAAGGTGTGTAAACATATGTGACAAATGACCACTTCTTCAGAGGAAAGGGGAAACTTCTAGACCTACCATGTCCAATGAGATAGTCACTAGCCACACATGGCTACTAAGCTCTTGAAAAATGATTAATCCAAATTGAGATATGCTTTCAGTATAAAAAATACACATTAAATTTCAAAGGCTTAGTATGAAAAAATGTGAAGTATCTCATTAATACTTTTGTATTGACTACATGTTCAAAAGATAGTATTTTAGGTATACTGGGTTAAATTTAAAAAATTAATTTCACCTGTTTTCTTTATATTTTTAAGATGTGGTTACCAGAAAATCTTAAATTACATACAAGACTCAAATTACATTTCTACTGGGTAGCACTCTGGATTAAAACATGCAAAAAAAGAAAAAAAAAAAAAAACCAGTATATGGACCTTTTTTTTTCCTTGCTCCTGATTTGAACAAGCCAACTCTGAAAAAACTTATGAGGCAATCAGCAAATTTAAATAATTTAAATAATGACTGGGTATATAATACTCAAGAACCACTGCTAATTTTTTAGGTGTAATGATGACTTTTAAAAGTCCTTACATTTCAGACACAACATCAAAAGAAGCAGTAAAAATTGACATGGATGTAGAATTTGCTTTAGGGTGCCTGGGTGACTCAGTCAGTTAAAGCCTCTGCCTTCGGCTCTGGTCATGATCCCAGGGTCCTGGGATGGAGCCCCTTATCAGGCTCTCTGCTCAGCAGGGAGCCTGCTTCCCCCTCTCTCTCTGCCTGCCTCTCTGCCTACTTGTGATCTCTCTCTGTCAAATAAATAAATAAAATCTTTAAAAAATAATAATAAAATAAGCCTTTAAGGGACAAGAAAAGTGGGTGTGATTATAAAGGAAAACAAGACTGGCCATTCAGTGATGTCTGCTAAGGCTATTCATTATACTACTCTGTCCATTTTCATGTATTTGAAAATTTCTGTTTAAAAAAAAAAAAAGTAGTATAAGAAAATGTGAGGCTAAGAGAGAGGAAGAGAGTAAAAATGTTTTACCACCCCATATAATTCATAAATACAGGCACAAATCATCAAAGTAACACTCAAGGAACAAGCCCCAAACCAAGTGAAATTTGTTGGCCCCAGCTTCTTAAGAAGAAACTGAAGAAACAGGTTAACTACGTAAAGGCCAGATTTTGTCAGATCAATTATCTTTTAAATAATTCCTAAAATATGAAAAAGTACACTATTATTATAAAAAAAGATATGATTGCCTTCCGGAAGAAATCTCAGATATGCAAAGAGACTCACAAAGCTTAAACCTATAAAACAACAGGGACCACATTCGGTGACACTAACTACAGCCCACATTGTTAAGAAGTGAGGCCAGAGAACAGCTAAAGGTGCTCGCTCTTTTTCCTTATCAGGCAACAACAGTTTCTGTAGTAAACTTCAGAAGTTTGATCATTTGATAATTGATATTCCAAGAGAATGCACACTTAACTCCTTTAACTTCTGCAATACAGGTATTTAATTATGCAGGAAACAATCTCTATTCACCTGTATTATTAAAAAGTTGGCCTAAGAGAAAACTCTTGACTTTCTGAACCTTAAAGCATTTTAGTACAGAATTGATTCTTTAATTTTGGAAATTTACAAACCTTAAGAAAAGTGGCAAGAGTTCAATGAACCCTAGATTTATACTAGGATTAACTTCTCTTCCCTTTCTTCCTTTTGCTGAACCATCTGCAAGTTATCTGCAGATTTATTTCATCCCTAACAACTTCAGCACAAATCTGCCTAAGAACAAGGGCTTTCTCCTGTACAACTACAATACAGTGATCACATTTGGGAACATGAATATTGCCTCATTACTATTATTTAATCAAGTCCATATTCCAATTTCTCCAGTTGTCTCACTAATGCCCTTTATAGTTGTTTCTTTGCAGCACCTGAAACAACATTAAAAACAGGTTGCTCAAAGACATTAGAATAAAAGAAAACAGAAGTACAGAGATGGCTATAAAACAAGAATTCCAAAGGTGTAAATTCAGCCTGGTGCCCAAGTGCCTGATTTCACTGAATTTAAAAGAATCAGAAGAGTTCAGGGATGCTCACACTTACAGTGAGCTCAAATGCTTTCAAAGAAAAATACAATTATGCACATAATTTTACAAAGTATTTTAACTTCATCTCTGGTAACCACTTTTGAGTTACTTTACGACAGTCCTAGCCCATAAAAACGCACAAAATCCACCTTTCTTGGAGCATATGTATGGGTTCCACAGGACTACAAAAACATGGTGGGAAAGCAGGGACCTCACCTCGGCGTGGACAGAGTTGATATGATACTTGACACCACTCTCTGACACAAATTCTTTTTGACACAGAAGACACTTGTATTTTCCAGCCACAAAGTTTCCCTGATTTCAAGAGAGAAAGAAAAGGAAATTACTGGTAAATTCAGGAACACATACCTGGGTCATGTATAGGGATCGTTAGAGATGAAAAAAGGGGATTTTACAGCCGCAAAGGTAGGAAGGAAGAAAATCCAAACAGCAATATATTTAGGAAAACCAGATTGAGCAGACTGTCACCACTACAAATCTATCCTAATATAACTCTACACGTAATCTTCCCACCCCCTCAACACAACCTGAAGTTCTCCTACTCGTATTATAGAACACGTCACACTTTTTTCTATCTTCCCAGGTTCTCTTGGTTCCTCTTCCCATATGATTAAACTTCTGAAGTTCACCAGAGGCACCAATGTATATAATTCTTCCCACTATAATCCACTGCTCCAAAGAGTGCCTTGGACATCCAAAATTAGAGAAGTATCATCCATAATGCCCAGTTTAAGGACTCAGACACTAAGTGGCAGCAGTCCCCATAGCTGTGGGTTGTATGGCACCTGGGTCAACACAGAAAAGATTCAGTGAGGTGAACAGCTGTCTGATTGACACCCAGGGATAGAGTCTACTTCTCGTCCCCAGAGGCCAGTACAATTCAGATGGGATTAGAGGCTCTTCACCAATCCAGATAAGCACAGGTAAATTGATTCTAGAAAGTTAAAGGCCCAATAAGACGGGCCAGGCCCAAGGCAGGAGAGGCTCAGGTGGAAGAAGTTAAATCCTTGGTAGAGACTCAAAATTAGTAATATTTTCTTCCAAATACTTTAATTGATAAGATTTAAGGTTATGTTGGCTTTTTCTGTATCTTGGACATATGCTGGCATCCCATCCAGTAACAGACCAAGAATCTTTAGGACATAAAAAGCTAAACCAGCCTCTGAAGATAACAGCAAACAGGACAACTAGCTGTTCACCTAAACTGAATTCTCTTCCGTTATCAGACTACTTTAGAGGTCATGTTAAGATAAATTGTTCAGAAAGTTACAAACCAAGGTACAAGAGCCCAGGTGAGCTTTAAGGCCTGATACACTACTGTAGACAGCCTCACAACCCTGCAAAAGAGAAGAAGAAATAATATAAGACTATACGAAAGCTCGTCCTTCTCTTAGCAACCTGCTCGTTTACACTGACCAACCCTACATGTGGAAGAAGCCCAATAAATCGCATTGCAAACCAAACAGGAAAAGAATCCACAAACAAGCAAGCCACAAAAGCAAAGAGAAAAAAACAAACAAACAAGGAAAGGTTTAAAAAAAAAAAAAAAAAGTTGAACAAGCTGTTCAGAAAAGCTTTGGATACTCTCTTCTCTGGTACTTTTTCTTTAACACTTAGAGAAACAAAAACGCACAGTTAGTTTTGTTTTGTTTTGTTTTTGTTTTAATCTGCTTTCTTCAGTATAAATGTGTCTCATATTTCTTGTTGTCTGCTCCTTACCTGGGGAAGGATAGGAGCATATATGAGCATATATGGCTCTGTGGTAGATTAAAGGTGTCTGGAAATTATCTGCCACTCTTCCCTGTGAGAAGTGGAGTCCACTTACCCTCCCCTCTGAATCTGGGTGAACCCTGTGAGTCCTCTGACCAACAGAATGTCATGGAAATGATGCAGAACAAATTCTGAAGCTAGGCATTAAGAGATCTTCAGCTTCTACCCTCATGTTCTTGGGATACTCTGAGAAGTCAGTTGCCATGCACCCTGCTGGTAACCCGCTGCACCCTCTCTCATGGAGAGAGGCCATGGGGACAGCTGAGCTCCCAGCTGAATTAGCTGCACAGGAGCCATCTTAGACACTCAGGTCCCATCCCAGCTTGCAGCTAAATACAACCCACACGTGATCCCAGCTGATGCCATGTACAACAGGAGAATGTTCTCTGAGCCCCAGCAGAATTACTGATTTACAGAATTCTGAACAAATCCAATAATTGATGTTTTAAGCCACTGAGGTTCAGGTACTTTGTCATGATGAATAAATAACTGAAACAGCAGTTTGATAAACATTTACTGAAGAAATGAATGAGAACCACCTGGTTAGGGCACTGAATGCGATGATATTTCTTGATATCTGACTTCCATTTGTGTAGGACTTCCTGGCTGAAGGTAGGTAGCCCAGGGCGAGTATATTTTAACTACAAGACAAGAAACATTTATTGGAGGAATCCAACTTCCAACCAAAATACCCCAAAAGTTTCACACCCAATGCTTCAGGTTATTTAATTCTGGAGTTCAACAAGCATACGTTCATATGCAAAAAAAATTATAGTATGTGAGACCTTGAAATACAAATTTACCTGAAACTGGTAAGTACAGCTGTCTATTGTTTAATGTTAGGAATAGTCTGATTTTTAACAGAGGGCAGGAGCCTTTCAGATATAGCACTTCATCTATAGTTTGAAAAAGCTAGTGACAGAGCATTTATACAGTTAAAACACTTGTTACAAAAAAGGGATACAAATATGTACTATATATAAAATGTACTTATCACACGTATACTTACAGGGTACACATATATACACACATATATAATACATTCAGTAGAAATATATGTAGCTGGGGAAAAGGCTAGAAGGCTATAAATGAACATGTTACCAGTAGTCGTCTCTGGGTGGTGGAATTTTGAGCAGTTTTAATGTTTTTTCCCTGCCCCTCTGCATTTCTCCTTCTTCTTCAAAGGTGTCATGTTAATTTTGTTTTTTTTTTTTTTAAAGATTTTATTTATTTATTTATTTGAGAGAGAGAGACATAAATAGCGAAAGAGATAGCAAGAGAGAGCACAAGCAGGGGGAGGCACAGAGGAAAGAGGAAGAAGCAGGCTCCTTGGGATCAAAGCAGGACTCTATCCCCGGACCCTGGGATCATGACCTGAGCCAAAGGCAGACGCTTAACCAACTGAGCCACCCAAGCGCTCCAATTTTTGGTATTTCAAAAATTCAAACAAAAACACTGAGGTTCGACCTGAAACAAAGATGTGAGAGAACTCTGGGGATGGAACACACAATCTTTCCTTCTACCGCCCAAGTAGAATTAACTATTCCTCACACTTGCTCCATGTGCTTTGACACAACTTAGTCTCTTCTTACAAGAACAACTGTAGTTTCCAGAAAGGAGACAGCTAGCACCTGGAGAGACTGTTCTTACAAAGTTCACCGCAGGTAATAGCTATATTTCCAGGAAGTAAACGATCTTCCTGCTTGAAAAATGTAAGTATCTGAAACAGATACTGAGACAGAAAAACAGAACCAAAGCCCACAGAGGTAAGAGGTAGTAAGGAAGTCACCCTAAAGAAACTCTGGCAAATCTATAAAAGGAATCAGAGCACAGAACTGGCTTTATATATATGCAGCTAGTATATATGGGTCCATCTAAAATCCTTTTATAGTGATAGCAGAATATTTATATAAGCTACTATATTCATATAATAAACTATCATATTTATGCAGCTATTAAAAAATGAGAATAATCTCAATGAACACATATGGAGTGAGTTCCACGATATACTTTTAAGTGAAATAAAGCGAAGTACAGAAAAGTACTTATGTAAGAAAGAAAAGAATATAAGAAAATACGCATCATCTGGCCATCCATCCCATAAAAATATAAGAAGGACAAACCAGAAACTACTGAGTGTGTTTTCCTTTGTGGGGGAGTAGGGTGGGAACAGGATGGAAATAAAAGGGTTCTAGGAACTGGGAACTGGGAAGAGGGCAGTGGCCCTTCTCTAAGAAGACTTTAATACAGGTCTGATTTTTAGAACTATGGTAATGTTTCCCATACCCCCAAGATAGATGACTAGTTTCAATTAAACAGGATGTAGGGGGACCCAAAGTGTAATTAGAGTAACATATGAACCTAATGATTACAAATGAGAAACCTAACGGGGGACAATCTAAGTAAATATAAAATAGGACTCCGATTATATAGTGTGAGGCCAAAGATGAAAAGAACTGTAACGACTACTGTTCTCTAATTAGCAAATCTGTTTTTACAGGGGTGTGGGTTAACAACTGTAAAACTGTATTAAACTAGAATTAAGCAAATAAGTAAATATATTGTACACAATGAGAGCCAGGTCTCTCACTGTTGAAGAAAGGAGTTACAAATAAGCACAGAGGAAGGCAAGAATGAAACTTGTGGTGTTGGACTGGAATTGAAGGTATCATGGCCTTCAATATGCATACAGACAGACAGAGAAATGAACACGAGAGAGAGTGGGCCTGGGTGGTGCAGTCAGTTAAGCATCCGACTCTTAATTTCAGCTCAGGTCGTGATCTTGAGCTCCGCACTCAGTGTGGAGTCTGCCTGTCACTCTCTCTCTGCCCTTCCCCACTTCACCCGCTCATTCACTCCCTCTTTTAAATAAATGGATAAACCCTCTCTCTCTCATGTAACTTTAGCTCTATCCACCAAGAAGGCCCAGAAGCATTGACACCCCAGCAGGCATAAATACACCTAGCATTCAAATCTTGGCTTTTAAATATATTCTTCAATAAAAGAAATCAGCATTCCTTGGAGAAATGGCTGATTCCATGGCTAGGGCAGGGAGTATATGAGATGACCCTACAGCATCTTGTGGTATCAAAAATTTAAGAAGTACTCAAAAAAAAAAATGATAGAGGCATGTCCAAAAGACACAGGGGCCCTCTTGGAAGTGCTCTTGATGGCCAACTCTGAGATGATTTGAGCCACAAAATGACCAACAATAACAGCACCATATTATGATGCTATAATAAAATATCCTTGAGTCCATACTGATATAAACAGAGTAACAGAAGAAAAGGATGTATCTTTCTCACAGAATTCCAATTAATAACTGCAGAAGAAACAATGGGAACACTAAACATCATTAGGCAAACAACCATAATCGTTGCAGTGACGGATACTATGTTAAGTTGGCAGAAGTATGGTTAGAGAAGGGCAGTTGCATAGTGTAAATCCCCCCACAAAATATTCACTAGTTATAAGGGGGAAAACTGTAATTTTGCCTTGGAGAAAAACTTGACAGCATACCCTCATGAAGTGATCAAAGTTATAATCAGTAAAAAGACATTCCAATATCATAACCCTCCTGATACAGTGCACTGAGAAGGGCCAACACTGCTTCAGTGGCATTCTTCACAAAAGCATATGACCCTCAATCTAATCTCGAGAAAAGACTACACAAATCCATACTGGGGATATTCTACAAATAACCAGCCCATCCTCTTTTCAGAGTCAAGAGCGCAAAAGACCCCCCCCCCGCAAAAGCCAGAATTGTAACAGATGAGAGGACACTAAGGAGACAGTAAAGAGAATTAAATGGGGATCCTGATGGTGTCCTATGATGGAATCCTGATCGGATACTATGTCATTCGTTATGTAAGGAATTGGCATTAGAAGAAGCCAGGTAAAGAGCATATGGGAACTCTGTACTAATTTTGCAATAGCTCTGCAAGTCTAAAATTATTCCCAAATAAAAAGGTTTTTCAAAATGGAATATAAAATTTGTGAAATAATAAAAAATGTATCTTGGTCTCTGCACTCAGTTCCTGTCAGCACTTAGTCTTCGACCCTGGTTCCTGACAGAGACGTCCTAAAACTCCAAAGTTCCTGAGTAATACCAGTATTTCATAGAGCTCATAATTCCTTGGAACATTCTGGTGACTGGAGTATCTTTTGTTCTAAGGAGGCAATTTTCGGTAGGCTCCTGGGTGGGAGCTAGTCACCAGAAAGGACCAAGCCACGACTTGAAGCTTGGAACTTTCAGACCCATTCCCCATTCTCTGGAGAGGGAAAGTAGCTAGAAATGGAGTTAATCAATCATGCCTACGGGATAAAACCTCCATAAAAATCCCAAAAATCCCAAAATTATGGGGTTCAGAGAGCTTCTAGATTGATTAGCATATATATATATATATATATATATATATATATATATATATATGCCAAGGCGGTGGTGTACCCCCAACTCCACAGGGTTCCTTCTCCTCCTCCTGAGACTCTTCCAGACCTCACTCTATTTATTTCTTCAACTTATCATTCATCTGTAGGTTTTTATTATATACTTTATAACAAACCAGTAAATGTGTTTCCCCAGTTCTGTGAGCCATTCTTGCAAATTATCGAAACCAAGGATGGGGTTATGGGAACCCCCATTTATAGCCAAACCAGTCAGACACACAGGTAGCAACCTGAGACTTGTGACTGGCATCTGAAATCAGAGCAGTTCTGGGGGGGCGGAGCCCCTAACTTGTAGGATCTGACACCAACTCCAGGTAGATAATGTCAGACCTGAATTATCTGAGGGACACCCAAGTGGTGTTAGAAAATTGGGTCTGTGTGGGAAAAACCCCCACACCTGTTGTCAGAAGTTTGTTAAGCATGCAGTTGATACGAGAGTAAAGGAAAACACAAGAGTTCTTCCTAGACAACACTGCTTGTATTTGTATCAGGAAACACTGGAATGAGACACTTGGGTGGCTCAGTTAAGCGTCTGTCTTCGGCGCAGGTCGTGATCCCAGAGCCCTGGGATTGAGACCCATATCCCTGCTCAGCGGGGAGCCTGCTTTACCCTCTTCTTCTGCGGACCACGCACAGTGAAACCAGATGGTCTACAATATCACAATACATACACCACTGTACAAAATATACATTTAAACTGAATTTAGATAACCATATACTTTAGCCTGTGACAGGAAGAAAGCAGCAGTAAGTCTAAAACAAGAAAGGATGCTCTGATATTCAAAAACAGGACCCTACTCCTGGGACACCTGTAGGACTGATTTTTAGGCCAAGTAAGAGGTATTAACTTCTAGGATTTGACGCATTTTCTTTTAACATATGACGTTCTTCTCACATGAGTCAAAGCCCTGAGCCGGATCTAAACTATTCTCGTCCATACCGGAGAGTAATAGGTCCTTAGCTCTAATCTCAATCCTCACTGTAGATCCTCCCAAGTCCTTCCCATGACTACTCCCATAAGTCATATACCCCTTGTCTCCTCTTGGCCAAATAATGTTGCTCTGGTCTATGATCTATTTTAAACCAAAGGCTTCCAAGCTGGGTTCTGTACCCCGCAGAAATACACTTGCGACCATGGAGAGAATGATAAAAGTATCAAGAAGAAGGCCAAGTAGACAAGGCTTTGGGTTCACTACCCCGTGGTTATTCAGAGCGACTCTGCTGTCCGTTATTTTATATACTGGTGTTTTATATAAGCTTCCATTTGGAAAACAGAGTAGGGAGAGGAGTTCTGCAGCCAGAAAAGCAAGTTGCAAGCATTTATCTAAACTAAATATAAACCACTACATACAAACTAACAAAGTGGAAACACGCTAGGCAACAACTAGGCAAAAAACTAATCTGGAAATGCCAATTCCCTCTGGAAGTAGTCCAAAATTAAGAAGGTTCCTTAAGGAACTTCTGAAACGGACTGTCTCTCTAGGACCCACAAGAATCCAAACACTCATGTTCCATCTCTAAGAATAAAGAAGCAAAATATCATTTATCGTGCACTCCAGTGCATTCAGTTTTCCATACACAGTAAGCACAGAAGCAGACACGGTTCGACATTAATACCTAAAGTCTCTACTTTACCTTCCGATCATCAGGTACCAAATCCTGAAGCACCTTCCTCTTGGGCCATTCCTTGGCCAGTTCAGCAGAAGCCAACTCCTGCAGGTGGTATACAGCTATCTTGGCAGAACGCCTCTGAACTCGACCGCCACTCTTTGGCTCCAGGCTCATCTCCTTTAAGCACTCTGGCTGTCCTGACTCTGGAAAGAATGAGATCTGCAAGAATGAGACATAGCAGAACACAGGCCTGAGAAGTGGCTTCCATCAGAGCCAATGATTAAAGGCCATTCTTCCTGCTCTAAGTATCAAAAGCTATTTACTAGCTTGCTAACCGTAAGCATAAGGTTCCACCACTTTAATGTGTATTTTGTTGGTTAAAAAAAAAAAAAAAAACTTCTCAGGATAAAATCTGTTGTTTTGGTAAGTCAAAGTGGTTAATTAAGGTCAAGACATGGCTGTGTGCAAAGACAGGACCCTCAAACCATATCTCATACTACATAAAAAAAATCAACTGAAAATGAATCAAACGTAAACCATAGAACTGTAAAACTTCTAAAAGAAACCAAGGGCGAAAATTTTGTAAGCCTGGGTATGACCGTTTCTTGATGTGTCACCCTGGCTAGGCTACAGTCATCAGCTATCCAACCAAACACTAATCTGCATGCTGATGGGAAGGCACCTTGTATAGATCTAATTTTTAAAGTCCAAAATCAAGTAGGAGAGGTGTGAGAGTAGAAAAGGCAGGAGAGATTCAGAGCATGAGAGACTCACTATGTCTGCTGCCATGACGATGAAGGGAACCAGGGAATGCACATGGCCCTCAGAAGCTAAGAACACTTCCTGGCCTACAGCAAGCAAGAAGTGAGGTCCTACAACTGCATGGAACTCAATTCTTAATCTTAAAGAGCCTCAAAACAGATTCTCCCCTTGAGCCTCCAGAAAGTAATAGCCCTACTGACACTTTGATGCCAGCCTGGTGAGGTTCTACACAGGGGAGTCAGTTGAGCTGTGCTATACCTGAACTTCTGGCCGGACAAGCTGAGTTAATACAGCTGTGTTGTTTAGGCCATTGATTTTGTGATTTTTTTTTTTTAGAGCAGCAATAGAAAAACTGTACCTTGGGCTGGGCAAACATATCTTAGATACAATAAAAGCATTATCCATAAAAGGAAAAAAAACATAAATTGGATGAACTTTATCAAAGTTAAGAACTCTACTCTTTGAAAAACGCTATCCAAAAATGAAAAGCTAAGCTGGGAGAAAACATTTATAAAACATGTAGTTGGTAAAGGACTTCTGTCCAAAATACATGAAAAAACTCAGAATATTTTTAAACCTCAACAGTAAGACAATGAAACTCCAATAATAAAGGCTTTCAATGGCCACTTCACTGAAGAGGACAGACACTTCACTAAGGACCCACATTGCCAATAAGCACATGAAAGGATGGTTAATGTCATTAGTCATTAGGGAAATGCAAATTTAAACTGCAGGGAAATACCACTGCATACCTAACAGAATAGATTAAGAAAAAAATGACACTGACAATAGCAAGTCCTAACAAGGACACAAAAAAACTGCAACTCTCATTTTGCCAGTGAGAATGCAAAATGGCCACTTTGAAAAACAGTTTGGCAGTTTCTTATAAACATGTATTTATCATTTGACCTAGCATTCCCATTGCTAAGTATTTACCCAAGAGAAATTAAAATTTGTTTTCACAGAAAAGCCTTTTATGTGAATGTTTATAGCAGCTTTATTCATAATTGCCAAAAAATGGAAACAACCCAAATGTTCTTCAACTGGTGAATGGATAAAGAAACTGTGAAACATCCATACAATGGAATCCTAGACAGAAATAAAAAGAAATAAAATTAATGATACATGCAACACATGGATGAATCTCAACTGTATTATGCTAAGTGAAAGAAGCCAGACTCAAAAAGCTATACATTGTATGACTCTGTTTATGATATTCTGAAAAAAAGCAAAACTATAGGGACAGAAAATAGATCGGTGGTCAAATCGTTCAAGATCTTGAATGTGGTGGTGACTACACAACTGTATATACTTGTCAAAACTCTTATGACTATACACTAAAAAAGGTGAATATTAATTACCATATGTAAATTATATCTTGAAATGGAACTCTAAAAAAAAAAAAAATGAGGTAGGGCAAGCCTAGAAATCAAGAAAAAAAAAGTCAAGACAAAAAAATTGGGACGGAAGATCCAGCTGGACACAGATGTCCACAAAATTTCTAGCTAAAGGGGAACGCCTTAAGCTTTAGAAAGATAATAATGAGTCTACTTCTGCACAGATTATACACTGAACTTTGATTTCTCTAAGCTAATTATGTTCAAAAGGCAGAAAAAAGAGAACCAAGAAAAAACAAGAGAAAACAAAAGCATTCAAAGATTAAAAGGGGATACAAATGAGGAACCAAGGAGGCATGGGAAATGTCAGGGTTAGTAGTCACCACGAAACAGATCTCCCAAATAGGGTCTGGAAAGTAATCAGTACTCACAGGCCCATGCTCTGACCTCAGGTGATACGCAAGTCCAGCCTTCGACTTATATGGCTTTCCACAGTGGTGACATTTCAGGGTCATCTCCTCCAGCTCTGCAGCCCCTTTGCCACATTTTCTGACATGGTACAGATATCCCATGATGCTGGTGAAGCTACTAGAGCAACTCTGAACACAGGAGAGAGGCCTGAACTATAATCTTCCATCTTTTGACATGATCTCTCAATTTCTAAACAGCCACAAAAGACTCAACCACCACATCCTATAAATAGATCCTACGACATAGCTAGACCCTCTCCAACACTTCCCGTTAGCACGACCCTTCCCTGTCCCTCGTCCCTGCCCTAACAGCTGTCCTGTCTGCCACCAAGAGCGACGTTCCGTCAGCTCAGTCAGCATCCAGTCTACTAGCACTGTGTGTCTCCTCTGCCGCAGAGGTTCCTCGCTGGCTCGGGACTCGACCCCACCCCAGCAGCAACCAAACACCCAGCGATGCCAGAGCTCCTCACGGGGAGATTACCGGGAGCCTTTTCATCACACTAAAGAAGGGTGGGAAAGGAACCCCTTTGAACAAAAGAAAAGGGGAGAAAAATAGGTTTGTGGAGATGCAAAAGAAAAATAAAGAACTATTAATGAATTCCAAACACCTGGAAAAGCAGGAGCCAGTCTTAATGCTGGAAGGTGACACAGAACCAGGTCTACAAGAGAGAAGGAGAAGAAATGGAAGAAAGTAACAGAAAGACAGTGACTCGAGACTCCAGGCCGAAGGAGATGCTGTCCCCGGGGCTCTTACCTCACGCATGCACCTGAGCTTGCCCAGTCTCTTTAGAACTGTCCGGAGCCGTTCTCTCTCACTTGGCTCGTCTATTTCATCCCCAGCCTTCAAAATGGGCTAGAAAGCAAGAGAAGCAAACGAGCAGATGATTCACAGAAAAGATAGATACAGACAAAAATGGTATCTTAGGAGAATCAAGGACTGGACTAGCACCTAAGCCGAGGCCCATGAAGCTTAGTTATCTGACTCCTGGCTTTCTCCATCTTCTCCTAGACAGACAAGGAAGCAAATGCAATGCAAGTAAGAGTTCAGAGCCTCTGGCTTCCAGGAGACGAAACTTTGGGGCTAACGTGAACACAAAAATACCCACCACAACGGTTTCACTGTACATAACTCTTCTATCAAAAGGGTGCTCTTACACGCCTGCAAAACCCCAGAGCCTTAATCACCCCCACGGGGTTATCCAAACTCATCTATGTAAAGACATGCGAACCCCCCGCAGGCTCATACGGGACAGGAGACACCTTACCAAGCTATTATGATTTGCCATGACGTGATACTTCATCCCTGCCAGGGAACGAAGCTGTTTCCCGCAATGATGACAAGTAAACATTTCCTACGAGGAAGAAATACTGCTCAGTGCCAGGCTGTTCAACAGAGAAATAGAATGTTAAAAAGTCCTACTCAGATTCTCTTGACCGTATCTCCTTTCACTCCCAAACTCGACAGTCAAGTCATCTCAAAATCCCACCACCTCAGTGTCATGTCCTCAAGGACAAAAAAGGAAAAGCAACTCATTTTGAAAGAACGACCATTTACTAAGTGCCAATATTTGCCAAGTAATGGAACAGGCCCCTTGCATGTATTCTTTCTTTCTTCTCCTCTAAGGGACTGCACAAAATTATTTTCTCTCTCTTATAAATGAGAAAACCGAGGCCCACACATGAAAAAGTTAAATGACACAACAAATAAGTTGCTGAGTGAAGATTCAAACCAAAGTCTGTCGGACTCAAAAGCCTCTGTCTTCCTTCTAACACAATGCTGCTGCTTCTCCACAGGTATCAGCACACCCGACACAGAATAGAGAGCTAAGGTATGGGGAAAGAGCATAACTGTCACGAAATGCCACAAAATCTCTAACCTGTTTGCAGGTCTCCATGTGTTTCTTTAAGCCCTCTATGGTCTTTCTCCCCACTGCCTGGCAGGTAGGACAGGAGACGCTGCCTTTATCCACAATTTCTAAGTACCACTGTTCCTCCAAACTGCCTACAAAGGAGAAAAAGGAACACCTCATAATCTGCAGAATTCTCCTGAAACAAAAAGCACAATCCTGAAACTTAGTAAAAGTACCATAAAAATGGTTTGTTCCCTTCCTGGGGAAAAGACTCGCTGCGTATAATTTCTAGAAATATTTTTTTCTCAGTCAGTGAGGAAACACCTACTCAGTTTCCCATGATAAAAACCATCTGGGCACCACTCAAAAGCCCAGTGGCTTACAGAACTGGGCAACGTTTTTTTTCGTAGCTTTACTGAGGTTCAAGCCACAATGGGCAACACTTTCATAGCCGCATATAACAGTGGGATACAGAGATATTTAACAGCCGGTTTGCTGAGTGTTTCCTGTGTGCCTGAAACTTTGTACAATGTTTTTATCCCATTTAATCTCAACGAAAATTCTGACTGCCTTCATTATCCCACTCAGAAACAAGGAAACCGAAGCTTGCACAAGTTAACTAGATGGTGGCAGGCCAGAAAACCCATTAAGAGCCAAACCTTCCACAAGAGTTTGACAGGCCTCCAAACCCATGCCCTTAGTAGCTGCCTCCTTAAAGAAACTCTCTGTTACATCATCCCTTAACCACCACCACCAACAAAGACAGGGTGTGAGAACTAGATACCCCAAAGCTTCCAACAGAAAACATACCTGCTGCATAAGCTGGTGGTTCCTTCCGAATACGACGAGCCTGGGATTTGGGATTAGGTTGAGTTTTAGGCCGTTGCTTCCTCCCTGACGCAAGACAGAAACTTGAAGCCCGACATATCAACTTTGCTACCCCATCTCTACTACCAAAATCTCCTCCCTCATCTTCTCAACACCCTGTGCCCCACTCCCTCAACCAACAGACTCCCTTAAGTTGTAACAAAAAAAAAAAAACTGGTAGAGTCAGGCAGGATGGAAGCCATTCCATGCCAAAAAATCAAAGGGCTGAACAGTGCTTCAAGGGCCAAAACCCAAGGTCTCTCTTGTACCTCTAAAGAATAAAGCCCAGGCACCCACGGAAAGAGAATGAGCAAAGTTACTCCCTTACCATAAAGTTTATGCTTCTTCTGAGGAAATTCTCGATAGTCTTCATCTTCCTCCTGCCTGGGTTTCCTTTTTCCTTTGGTTGATACTCCACCTGACCCTGAAACACCATACAAAACAAACAAACAAAACCCTCAGTGTGGTTTACAAGTGAACTTCTCTGGCCTGCCTTCAAAACTTCAGTCACAAGACCATCATAGAGGAAGATCGTCAGTGAGCACAGGCCTCACAGAAGTGTCCGACATTTTTAGGGAAGTTGGTAAAACTTCACTAACTCACTCAACCTCCCCTTTTCCCTTTTTCTTATTCTCCACCCAAGTGATCAACTGTTCCCCATGAATAGTAAGAGCCTTCCAGCAATGTGCTTTCTTTGATCTTGATTCAAAGCTAACACGGAAGTAGAACTGTTCCAGATAAAGGGCTACTAAGGACCCTTGAGACTATGCCCACCAAGACAATGATACCCAGAATCGCCCTTACACCAGCCCCTAAACTTCAACAGAGGATCAAACTGGAACAATGGGAAAGAAGTTCAAATCATGTGAAGAGGGAAGGATGACACCAGTCTAACCTAGAGGAGTGAGATCAGCAGAATTTCACTCTAAAATAGGAGAGTTCACAAAGTTGAATAGTATGTGGCAGCCTAACATAAATGTGAGATACACATATGTGACATTTACAACAGCTACCTAGAGAGTGCTCTGCCTTTGACATAAGACAGAGATACTGATACCTTCGACACGGGAAGCAGCAGCTGGCTTGACCCTTCTCATCTTCATCCAGTAGGTGGATTTTCGGAAGGACGGTGGAAAATCACTCACTGGCTCACATGATGAGGCAGATGATGAACCACTTAAGGAGTCATCGTGAGGGATAGTGTACTGGAAACTATTATCTTTTATGGAGCACTGGGTCCTGCTAGTAATACGAAACAAATAGACATACCACAAAGGAGGATCTGGAGTAAAGTTCCTATTAATTCTTTATGTCATAAGAAGACAAGTTGGTTACCTACGCAAAAACTAAAAAGCCTGATAATAAAAACAGACCTGAGATTGTACTCTAACAATTACAACAGTTATGATCAAAGGCAACATATAAAATTATTACACTTCATTGTAATAAAAGCAGTCCACATTAATGATCACTCTGGAGCCCAAGTAGGCACTCTTTTCTAGACTGATCAAAGAAAAGAAAGTAGTGAAAGTAATAGGGTGTTCTTTGATCCTTCAGAAGATCCTTCAGTAACCAGGTATGTCCAGGCCTCCCAATTTCTCTGACAGAGGGACAGTAACTAAATACTATCCCTGAGAACAAAGAAGGAAAAGCAGAGTTTGTAGGGCCCTAGTCTGATCCATCTTCCCGAAACACTGTGTCAGCACTATCCTGTCTTATTTAGGCAACATGATTCTTAGCTCCCAGCCTTAAAGGGGCCACCTTATCTAAGGTAAGCTGGCTGGAGAAGTCTGGTATACAGCTGGATCCAAATTCCCAAATCTAAGACCAATCAGTATGTAGTTAAGAAACATTCATCAGTAACTAGGTCGTTCAGAATGCAGAGAGGAGCAGCAGTTCTCAAAGTGTGGTCCAAGGACCTCAAGACATCCCTTTTCCAGCTGAAGATCCATGTGAGGCCTGCCTTAGGTTTATGGTTTAGAAAGACCACTCTGGATGCTGTATGGAAAATGACCCGTGGAGGAGGAGTGAATACAGGGAGAAGGGCTAGCAGCTCAATGTAACGGTATGGATAAGAGATGATAAGGACCTGAACTAAGGTTCTGTGGCAGAGATAAGTTGACAAATTCAAGATAACACTTCAGTGGTAGAGCTGGTAAGAATCACGTAGAGGTTTGAGGTAAGGAGATGGAAGTAACACAGGTGACCATTCTTAAGAATGTATATTAGTAAAATATGATACATGCCCACTATGGAATACTAGGTAGTTGCTGGAAGCAATAAACCATTTCCACACATAGAGACGTGAACATAACCAAAAGAGCATACTGCTGAATGAAAAAGAAATAGGGTGCCTGGGTGGCTCAGTCAGCTAAGCATCTGACTCATGGTTTCAGCAGCTCAGGTCATGATCTCAGGGCTGTGAGATGGAGCCCTGCATTGGGCTCAGTGCTCAGTGCTGAGTCTGCTTGACACTCTCTCTCCCTCTCCCTCTCCCTCACCCCCTCCTCCGAGTGTACACACACATTCTCGTGTGCATGCTGTGTGTGCGTGCCTGCTCTCTCACTCTCTCTCCAAAAAGAAGTAAGTCTTTAAAAGAAAAATAAAGAAAGAGCAAGACTTAATGTCAATTTGGTAAATTAAAAACAAATACACTCATAAACAACACTGGCTATTTTATAAGGATTCATAAATATTTAAGGACAAATATCAAACTTGCTAACACAGTTGTCTCTGGAAGGGAATGGAAATGGAAACAGGGAAAACAAAAAACTACAGGGACTGATGTCAGCATGCTAGGAACAGAAAAGAATGATTTTCCATTCTCTGCACATGAGATCCAAAATGACAAATTCCACCGTGGTGCCTAAGGCCACCACAGCTCATCCCTCCTGCTGACTACAACTGAAAATCCTGGACTCTGAAAAGTAAACAAAGTAGGTGGACTATAAAGAGGTGTCAAAACTGGGAGAAGTGACTCACATGGGTGTGTTGCCCCATTTTGTTTGTTTTCCCTCACATGCGGCAATGAAATAAGGGTGGGCCCCATTTGCAGAGTAGCATGCAGTCTAAATTGCAACAGAAACTCTCTTTCTGGCCACAGAAACCAGGAAAAGTGTCTCTACAGACTAAAATGTGTGAGGGAACTGTGAAGAAGAATCAGGCAAAGAAGATGATCCCATAATTCTGTGTACGAATCCACACAAATCACAGCTTAATCTGAACTACATATGTTTGGAGCATACCAAAACCAGCTTAGCAAAGGCTTTGAGAAATAAGATTTGAACAAACTGCAAAAGTCTCAGAATAACCCCTGAACTGCTAGTAAAAGATAGACCCAACGTATCAAAAGCTTAGAGAAATGAAACAAGACTTGAAACACCCGAAAAAGTCTCAGTCAAACCCCTGCACTGTTCAAGACCGACCTAAACCATCATAGCAAAGACTCAAAAATGGAATTAAGACTGACCCAATGCCCTCAGAAAGCAAGACAGAACTTATGGTCTGAACAGTAAACAGGTTACTTGCTAAAATAAAAATAGCAGTGATCCCCCAGAGGATTCTAAAAAGACCCAAGGTCTATACAAATAACATTCACAATCTCGGGAATAAGTTGCAAAGTTATGCAATACACAAAGAAGCAGGAAAATCTGCATAACTCCAAAAGGAACAGAAAATGAACAAATGTCAACCTCAAGATGTTAGAACTATGAAAAATTTAAAGCAGCTATTACAGGGACGCCTGTAACACTGGGCGTATTACTGGGTGGCTCGGTCAGTTAAGTGTCTCCCTTCAGCTCAGGTCATGATCCCAGGGTCCTAGGACTGAGTCCTTGCTCACCAGGGAGCCAGCTTTTCCCTCCGCCTGCCTCTTTCCCTGCTTGCACTCTCTCTGACAAATAAACAAACAAAATCTTAAGGGGAAAAAAAAAGCAGTTATTATAACTATGTTCCATGAAATAAAGGAAAACACAATTCAAGTGAAGGAAAAGGTAGGACTTCTCAGCAGAAAAAAAAAAAAAACATAAAAAAGAATTAATTGAAATTTTAGAACTGAAAAAAAAAATTGAAATAACAACAAAATGGGCTCAATAACAGAATGGAGATGACAAAGTAGAGTGTGTGAACCTGAAGACAGAAACTATCTACTCTGAAGAACAAAGAGAAAAAAGACTGAAAAACAGTCAACAGAGCTTCAACAACCTATGAGTCAATATCAAAAGGTGTCACTTAACACCTTAAGGATATCAAAAGCTGGGGCACCTGCGTGGCTCAGTAGGTTAAGCCTCTGCCTTCAGCTCAGGTCATGATCTCGGAGTCCTGGGATCCAGCCCTGCATCGGGCTCTCTGCTCAGCAGGGAGCCTACTTCGTCCTCTTTCTGCCTGCCTCTCTGCCTACTTATAATCTCTGTCTCTGTCAAATAAATAAATAAAATTGTTTAAAACAAAACAAAACAAAAAAATACCAAAAGGTGTCCAGAAGGAAAGGAAAAAGAAACTGTGGCACAAAAATACATTTGAAAAAAATAATGGTGGAAAATCACCCAAATTTAATGAGACATAAATTTACAGATTCTAGAAGCTCAACAAATACTCATTGGATACACTGAAAGAAAAACACACCTAGACACATCCTAACGACAATGTTCAAAACTGATATTAAGAGAGAAAAATCTAGAAAGCAGCTAGAAAGAAATGACATGTTACATATAAAGAACAATGGTTTAAATGATTACAGAATTCTCAACAGAAACCAAGAAGAGAAGATAACATCTTTAAAATCCTGAGACAAAAGATCCGCCCATCTAAAATTCTATACTCAGTAAAAATATCCCTTAGACATGCTTCTTCAGATTAAAAAAAAAAATTTTTTTTAAGAAAATTTGTTGTCTGTTCTATGACCTGCTCATAGACCTGCTCTATGAAAAATGCTAATGGAAATTATTCCAGATATAATGAAGGAAAATGATACAGGGAGAAATCTGGATTTTTCAGAATGAAGAAGAGCAAAACAAATGGTAAATAGCTGGGAAAATATTAACAATGACAACAACAGGGGCGCCTGGGTGGCTCAGTGGGTTAAAGCCTCTGCCTTCCGCTCAGGTCATGATCCCAGGGTCCTGGGATCGAGCCCCGAGTCAAGCTCTCTGCTCAGCGGGGAGCCTGCTTCCCTTCCTCTCTCTCTGCCTGCCTCTCTGCCTACTTCTGATCTGTCTGTCAAATAAATAAATAAAATCTTCAAAAAAAAAAAAAACTGCTTTAAAACAAAATTTTGACATTATCTGGTGAGGTTTTCAAAATATGTAGATGTAATACATATGAGAGTGATAACTTAATGGTCAGCAGACAGGGGGCTTAGGAATTCTACAAGGCTGTGAGGCTTCTAGATTTAAGCAAAGTGGTAGTATAATAACTTTAAGTAACCTATGAAACAGTAGGTACATACATTTCCTAGAGCAAACACTACACATGAGAAAGAAACAGAAAAAAAAGAAAAGTGAAAAGAGAGATTAAAAAATCAATAAACTAAAATCAGACATATTCAAATAACCCAAAATAAGATATAAAGGAACAATACACAGGGTACAAGAACCAAAATAAAATGGCAAACCTAAATCCAACCATATCAGTAATTAATTTAAATGTTTATGGTCTCAACACTCCAGTTAAGAAGTCCAAGACTGTTAAAGAATGAATAAAAAAGCAATACTCTAGTACAGTTGACCCCTGAACAACACAATCTGAACTATATGGGTCCACTTATACATGGATTTTTTTTTATATAAATACAGTACAGTATTGTAAATGTCTTTTCCTGGTAATTTTAATATTTTCTTTCCTCTAGTTTATTTTAAGAACACCGTAGGATATAATATATAACATACAAAATGTGTTAAAGGACTGTTTATGTTATCAGTAAAGCTTCCAGCCTATAGTAGGCTGTTAGTAGTTAAGTTTTGGGGAAGTCAAAAGTTATATGCCGATTTTCAACTGTATTGGAGTCAGCATCCTTAACCCCTGTGTTGTTCAAGGGTCAACTAACTGTATACTGCACCTACAAGAGGCACACCTTTTCTTTTCTTTACTTTTCTAAGTTTTATTTATTTAAGTAATCTCTATACCCAATGTGGTGCTTGAACTCAGGAACCCGAGATCAAGAGTCAGATGCTCTTCCAACTGAGCCAGCCAGGTGCCCGCGAACTTTCAATATAAAGACATACACAGACTGGAAATAAGTGGAT